CTGGTCTCCTCGGAAATAGAAAAATGCTCCTATTGATGTGCAAAGGTAAACAGGAATCTCTCAATAGCTTCAAGGTCACTTGAAATTTTTGCTGCTATAGAATCCTGCAGCTTGCATGTAGTTTTTTTTTTAGAGAAACAAAGGATAACCAAAATCGTGAAACCGAGTTTCAAAACAGGTTAGTAGGGCAATTATAACACTTGATAAGCTGTGTATTGTTGTCTTTGCAGTAGTTATTCAGAGTATAGAATATAGGCGCGATATCTTATCTAGATATTAGCACAAAACATTCTTTATAGGGAACAAATAGAAGCTAGCTGTATAAGTATTTTAACTATCTTGTATGTGTATATATATATATATTATTCTTATACAAATAGAAGCTAGCTGTATAAGTATTTTAACTATCTTGTATGTGTGTATATATATATATATATATATATATATATATTATTCTTATTCTTCCTCTCCCCGTTTCCCTATCATAGATTGTCTTCTCTTTTGAACAGTTTCTTCCCAAACTGCAGTACTTACTGTACATTTGGGATCCTATTTACTTTGTTCACTTTCTCACATTAATGAGAAATGTAAGTTTTTACACATATGGGTTTGATTAATTTCATTTATGAGTATGGTCTGGAGATGCATCCTTTTTTATCCATTCCTTGGCTGATGGGCACTTAGGTTGTTTCTAAGATTTAGCTATTACAAATTGTGTTGCTATAAACATATGTGCACATGTATCACTGTGGTATGATATTTTAAATTTTTCTGGGAAAATATCTGGCAGAGGAATAGCTGGGTCAAATGGGACCTCTAATCCCAGTTTTTTTGAGGAATCTCCACACTTATTTCCACACTGGTTGCACCAATCCACACTCCCACCAACAGTGTAGAATGGTTCTTTTTTCCCCACAGCCCCGCCAGCATATGGTTATTGGTTGATTTTTTTGATGATGGACTGAGATGAAACTGGGATCTCATTTTATTTTGCACATGAAAGGAAATCACCAGCAGAGTAGGAAAAAAATTTTAGCCAACTGTCCGTCAGACAAAGGACTTCTATTTAGAACGTATTAAAAAATGAAAAAGATCAAGCCCCCCAAATTCAAAGACCCAATCCAAAAGTGGGCATGAGATGAATATACACTTCTCTGATGAATAAATGGTGAATAAATGTATGGGAAAATATTCAACATCACTGGTTATTTGAGAAATAATGTAGGATTTAGAGAGCTAACAAAGGCGTGCACACCACTGCAGACTGCTTCTATCCCCAGTAGGATCATTCTGACATATAATCTACCCGTGTCCCACCCTCACTGCTACATACTTCCTCCAGCGTGCACTTGGGACCCTGTGAGGACTGCATACACTGAGCCACACAGCCAACCCGCCAGACCAGTTCCATCCCTGTATGACCCACAGAGACTGACAGGCTCCTTGACACATTTCTGCATGCACTGTACCTAAATTGATCAATTGCAGCTAAAGAAGTTATATGGAGCTACATCACTGCACCTAACTGGAACTAGAGCCATATCAAACTGATGGCACAAGATATCTCTGCAGGAGAAAGTCTTTTACTACAAAAAACATGGGATAAAACTGATGGACACAAGAGATGTGCCATATGTGTAAATACCAACGTTGGGATACAAGAAGTATGAAATAGCAAGGTAATATCCTGTCTCCAAGGAACACAACAACTCACTGCCAACAGACTCAAGAGAATAAAAGATTAATAAAATGCCTGAAAAAGAGCTACAAATGACTATTCTAAGGAAACTAAATGAGATACAAGAGAATACAGATAATTTAGTGAAATTAGGAAAACAACCCTTAAGAAAGAGAAATTCAGTGAAAAAATAGGGTTTTTTTTTTTTTTTTTTTTTTGGTCTTTTTTGAGACAGGGTCTCATATGCAGTTCAGGCTGGCCTTGAGTTCACATTGTAGCCTAGGCTGGTCTCGAACTTGCAACAGTCCACCTGCCTCAGCTTCCCGAGTGACAGATTACTGGAGTGTGCCACCACACCATTTAGAAATATAGTTTTAAAAAGATAAACATAAATCTTATAGTTGAAGAATTCAAAATGTGAAATTAAAAAATATAGTAGAGAATATTTAAAAACTAGAACAAACAAAATAGAGATTAGCTGAATGTGAAGACTATTCTAATGTTCATTCTTCTCAAACTATTTCAAAAAATTGCAATGGAGGGAATTCTTCCAAACTCATTCAACAAAACCACCATTGCCCTAAATTACCATTACCCCATCTAAACCAAGTATAGACACAAAAATAAAAGAAACCTGTAAGTCAGTATCCCAAATGAAGAGATGCAAAATATCCTATACGAAATATAAGCAAACTAAATCCAATAACACACCAAAAAGATTATACCCTGATTTATGTACAGATGCAATGATAGCTCAAAATAATCAATAAGACATAATATATCACACTAATAGAATGAAGGCTAAAAATCAAACAATCAGCTTAATAGACGCAGAAAAAACATTTAATAAAATTAACATCCTTCATGTTTTACAGCAATAAGTATAAAAGAATAGCATTCCAACATTATGAAGTCTACATAAGACAAACCCACAGACAATATAATTCTACACAGGGAAAAGCTGAAAGCATTTTCTGTAGTAAGTAGAACAAGACAAAGATATTTACTTTTACAATTCTTACTCAACATAGAACAGGAGGTCTTAGCCAGAGCTATTAAGCAAGAGAAAAAAAAAAAAACTCGCATAGAAAAAGAAATCAAATTATACTTGATTTGTAGATGACAAGATTTTATGAATAGAAAAATCTCATGATTCTACTGAAAACTATTAGAACTGATAAATTCATTAAGGTTGCAGAACAAAGACTGAATGTACAAAAATTAATAGTATTTTTATACAACTAAAATTAAAACCTGCTCAGAAAAAAAATCAAGAAATCAATCTCACTGCCAATAACTACAATAACAATAATATATTAATGTTATAGTAATAATATAGTAATGATAGCTAAGAATAAATTTAAACAGGAAAGTTAACTGCACAATGAAGGAAAATATTGATGAAACACACTTAATAACAAAAAAGTGGAAAGACTTTCCATGCTCATGGATTGAAAGAATTAACATTGCTAAAAATGTTCGTACTATGCAAAAATTTATGTATTCAACAGAATTCTTGTCAAAATACCAATAGCATGCATCTTCCACAGAAACAGAAAAACCCAATCAAATTCATATGGGAGCATGTAAGATACCAAAAAAATCAAACAATTTTGAGTAAAATGAATGAAGCTAAAAGCATCATGATACCAGATCTCTAGATATTATACAGAGTAAGAGTAATCAAGATAACAAGGTACTGGTATAAAAACTAACATGTAAACCAGTGGAAAGAACAGAGAACCCTGAAATAAATATATAGGCAATTGATTTTCAACAAAGGTGCCAAAAACATAAATTGGAGAAAAGATAGCTTCTTTAATGAATGGCAATCTGGATATCTACATACAGAGGAATGAAACTAGACAACTACCTGTCATCTTACACAAAATCAACTCAAAATAATCAAAGATCTAAATGAAAGAGTTGAAACTAAGAATAGGAGAAACACTTGGAGACAAGAGTATAAGACTCCTTTAATATTAAAAAAAAATAAATAAATAAAAAGATAGGATTACAACTCAGCTTCAGTAGAAAGTATACCAGGCATGACCACGGTCAAAGTAGGTAAAAAAGATTCATCAACTGAATTTGTTGAAAATCAAACTGCAGCTCCTGAAAGGTATCTTCAAAAAACAGTAAAATACTCAACTATACTATAGGATCTCGATGGCAGTTGTTGGAAACTTGGGCATTTCCAGGAACAGACAATACCCAGGCTTTAAGCGGAACAGAAACACTGAACAGGGCTGCCAAAGCTGTCCACAAAATGAGATTCAGAATGAATGAATCAGATGCACAGTTTGAAGAAAAGCAGTAGCAATTTGAGGATTCTGACCAGCGATTTAGGAAACTCCATGCCAGTGCTGAAGCCTTAGTCTGTCACAGAAAAGAACTTCCAGCTTTTGCTGAAAATATGTTGCTGGTAGGTACTGTGAGGGAATTCTGAGGCCCAAGCTCCTTTATCTAGAGATCTGTCTCAGCTTCCAGAAGGTCAGGAGATAATAGATCAGAAACATCAAGAACAAGCTTTTGCTGAGTTTTGCAAGGTTTCAGAACTACTCAGCAACTCCATTCCTCTCATCGGTACAGTAAAAGGTGTGTTTGACCATCAAATAGAGGGCTGTCAGTAATGTAATGATGTTCTAAAATTACTTTGCTGAAAAAACATGAAACTGAGGTAAGAATAATGATGGCTAACCAAAGCAGACCAAATGTAGCAAGCTAGAAATGAAGTAAAAATTGGAAGTAACACAAGGAGAAAGACATTGAACAGATCTCTAAATTCAAAAAGGGGTGAGAATTTAAAAAAGGAAAATGGTCATGATGTAGGGACTATAATTTATAGAACTTCATTTTATTCTTGAAAATTCTTAAAAGAATAGTTTTGAAGTGTTCTCATCACAAAGAAATGACAAGATTTGAGGCGGTACACACTAATTTGTTCATTTTAGCCATGCCATGATATTTAAAAATATCATGTTGTATAGAACATGTCTAATTACTGCCCATTAAAATAAACTGTGAAATAAGTTGTCAAAAATCTTGAGTACACTGGTTACATATGTACACTAATTGAAAGAACTATGATATTCTAGATATGGGAAGGTTATAGAAAAAGGATCATAGTTATTTCTAGGAGATAGAAATGGGTTGCCATTGTGAAGAGAGGGAGAGACAGGGTCAGAGTTGTTCCATGTTCTATTTCTCTCTTTGGTGATTCAAAAAGTATTCGTTTTAAAATACAACAAGCTCAACATTTAGGTTTTATGCATTTTTCTGCATGTAATATTTCACAATATAAAAGTATGCTAAGACCAACCTTCTCATAATCTTCAGCAGTAAAATCTCTGTCTTTCTGAAGAATTTCATGAAGTCTAGCTTTTACACGTTGTTGACAACTGCTCAAAGAGTCATTATCACTATCCAAAAGACCATTCATATTCGCACTTTTCACCATTTGAACGAGAATGGGTGTAAGCTCTCCTTCCAGAGCCAGTAGCCCCTAAACAAAGCCAACAGTTTAAAAATCAAATGTAAAATAACACAAGGTACCATAATTTTGGTTTATGCTAAATTTCATAATATATAATCTACAGTTTATCATTGCTGGTTGACAGTTTAGAAGTTCCAAATCTGGAATTTTTAAATATTGATTCAGTAAAATTTTTAAACTACTACATTACATAAAAATTCTAGTAACTTAGAAAATCACTTATTGATACCTTTGCAAAAGCAGCTGCAGTCATCTGGACTCGCCCCTCATCAGAGGCATATATTTTAAGGTCATGTCGGTAGGTGCTATGCAATCGAAGTAAACCACAACCAGGAAATCCTGCATAATCTCCTGAAAATAAATCTTCGAATCACTTAAGCTATATTTTTATTTCACTGTATTCCTTTATTTACTAGCATCAAAAAATACTGAAGATTTGAAAATAAAATGCATAAATTTAACCAAAATTAAGAAATTCTCAGATTTACCTTGACCTCCAGGATACATACACCTGAAAGCTCTTCCAAGTTCTTCAGCCTGGACCCTGCCTGCAGGAGTTAACTCTCCTCCCCACTTTAGAACCAACAGTAAGGATGGCTCTTCTCTTCGGCTGTCTAAAATAGGCATAAGTAAGTAAAACAAATGTTAGGTATGTTTCTTTCAACAGACATGCCTCAACCTTAATTTTTTTCATCTGTGCCCTCTTTTGCCGTGGAATCTCAAAAGTAAATTATTTTATTCCCTAAATGCGCCTATCTTTGCAAGCTGCTGCACTCACCAGGAATACCTTTTGGTCTACTTAGGAAAATCTTCCTAAAATTCAGAATATCTTTCCTGCTTAGAAGGCACCCAACTGTCAGCAGAAGTACTGTGTCTGCTTTCTCTACTCTTACAAGGAATGACTCATCCAATGCATAGTCATGCTATGTCTGATAGATCATGATTTCCTTGACACCAGGGTCCAGAACTAATCTGTGTTTACACCAAGTGCTTTTTATAGTGCTGTCACATAAAAGCAAATGCACTAGGTGCAATGTGTGTTTTACGACTGGGAATCCGTGATTTGCATGATTTTTAGGAAGAAATATAAGCCTAAAATGTATCCTAATTCAAATTTTAGCAAACAATGAAATGTAGTGGAGAGTAGTTTTTGAATTGTGCAGTCTTTGTAATTTCACATTTAATTTGCTCACACACGAGGGAAACAGCATTAAGTGAATGAGTTTCTGCACTTAATTTTGACCAGCCCTTTATCATGGCCTTAACTTCTGTGATGAAGTGTAGAAACAAAGGAAATTTATAAACATTAAGTATAATCATTAGTAACGATTCATAAAAAGGGATAAAGAATTTTGCTTCCTCTGGGGATCTGTTAGCAGCAGTTTATGCTTTACCATGCAGGCTCACAAGGAAACGAGAATACAGGTAACTTATATTGTTACTTTATTTGTTTGCAAGAAGTTTTTCATTATAAACACATGGATATAGAAAATTAATCTGTATCGTTTATAATCACAAAATGTGACAAAAGCAACAGGTCAAATGTTAAAATAAATGCATGAAGATTAACAAATCCAAACATGTATTTGATTTTAAGATAATCGCTACTTCAATTTTTGTTACAATAAATAATGCCACTATGAATATTCCTATAGGCTGATCTTTCTCTGAACACTGATTATTTAATTGGGATCAATTACTACAAGTACCTAGATTTAAGGAAAAGCAGCGCAACATCTTTTTGAAGTTTTTAATACAGATTGCCAAATCACTGTTTAAAAAGTTGTATCAATTTACACTTCTACCAGCACATAAAATCCTGTCACAGTGTATTCATAACAAACTTTTTATTACCATTTAAAGAAATGAAGAAAAAGCTCTTTGTTAGTATGACAAACAAGAAAGATTATTTAGGTTGAGCAAGCCTAATCTGAAATTCTGCAATCGAAATACTTCAAATTCTAATGCTTTTTGATCCCTGACATGATGCAACAAGTGGAAAATTCCACACCACAGAACTCTGTCTCACATATAAAATTATTTAAAATATTTTATTAAGATTTTTCAGACTACACACAAGGCACATACATACATATATACAAACACATATGTATATGAATAAATGAGTTTTGGGTTTAGAAGTGGGTCTTATCCCTAAGATATCTTAATTTGCACAGGAGAACATTTCAAACTCTAAAGAAGTCTACAATTTGAAAAACCTCAGATCTCAAATGTTTCAGGTAAGGGATATTTGACCTGTATTATTAGTATTATTATAATTGTATTTGCCATCTGCCATTTCTCCATTAAATGACTGCTCCAATCCTGCTTTTTCTTTTAAAAAGTACATGAATCTGTGGACTTTTCTGTTGACTGCTCACAGCATACCAACCTTGTTTAAATGCTCATTTAGGTTTACTGAGTGGAGGAAATATTACTAATTCATTTTAGATATACATTGTATATTCAATTTTTAATTCAGCATGCCAGTCCCTAAATTACTAATTAGAAGATGGCCCAAAAATAAGCAACATGGTATAGAAAGTCACTATATATACATGTCACTATATTCACAATAAACATTATGAATAACATACCTTCCTCTTCACTAGAGGTTTTAGGACACCCATGTGGGAGGTAAGTCAATTGGACCTTACGATTTATTCCAGAAAAATGACCATACCTGAAAAATAAAATGGCAAACAGAATAGACAATATTAACTGTTGATATAACCTCTTAAAGAAACACTAAATCTATGTGGAAAAAAAACTAATTCTCACAAAATCTGAACCACAGATAGCCAGTCTAACCCACTGTAAAATAATAAATACAGATCTTTTCTGTAAGGAAGACAGTTCCAAAGAGATGAAAAGGCACAGAAATATGCAAAAATATAAATATAGGTATTTTATATCATTAAATATACAAGACTATAAGGAGACTGATCAAACTAAAAGAAATTAAAATGGGAAATTAGGCTCCCAAGGTAAGGTGGAAGCATAGAAGTAACCTTCATGCACATCTGGGAGCAGTAATGAAGCAAAAGAAATAAGTAAAAAGGACACAAGGAAAATCGTAATTTTAAAATCGTACTTTTAAGGAAACAGCAACTCAGACTCCAATACAAGTTACGATTTTTTTGCCCTATGTTTGCTTATGCTTCCTAGGCTTGTTTTATTCTTCCAGTCCCATTAAACTTTAATAATGTAAATTAGGTTAATAATGTAAGTACACAAATTAGCTTAGTTGACAGTTATAGGCAGAAATGTAACAAAAGGATAAAGAAATAGATTCAAAGGGTTCAAAGAATGTTTTAGGCAAAACACCTTGGACTACTCCTCTTAAAGGATACCTGAAAACACAGACAGACAGACAGACAGACATACAGACACACACACACACACACACACACACACACACACACACATTCTGAACCCAGATAGTAGTAGACCTTTTTCTTAAAGGTGCATCATCTATTACCTCTAAGCAGGCAGGTTTCCCTTTCATCCTGCTTAATAATACCATTTTACATCTCCCACAGATGTGTCCTGAAATTTTCTTCTGTGACAAGACTCAAGAGATCCCACCTCATCTTTAGGGGAATTCCTTGAACCGTACCAGGTATCAAGAAGAGTCAAGAGTTAGAAAGGAGAAATTATATTCTGAGGAAGGGAAGAGGAAATGTCCCAAAATTCAAGATGGAAGTGACAAAAAAGCAAGCTAAAAATGAGAAATGGAAAGGCAACAGGGAGACAAGTACAAAGCAGGGGGTTTTGGGGGCTGAGGCACATGGACGTGACTCCTCACATATAAGGCAAACCTGAAGGCAAATCCACAGAAGTGTAAATCCACCAGAGGGTTGTGGAGTGAACACAGATTTTCTAAAAAGTCTCCCACGGGGCAGTGGGAGCCCCGTGCCGAGCAGCCAGGAGCCAGGCTCTGCACAGGCAGTGGTCCGCATGGGCTGGATCTGAAGTGGCCTGAACTAAGCCCACCCAGGAGATTACCTGCTTCCTCTTGCTCCCTACTCCAACACAGAATGTGGTGCCCTTTCTGTGCTCCCCACCCTACAACGTTTCCATGGATTTGTCTACCACATTTGCCACATCCCTTCCCTCATGCACGCTGAGGGGCCACAACTACACAGCTCGACTGAGGACAACTGACGCTCCCAGAGCACAGGCAGGAACGTGCACCCATCCAGAACCTCCGGGGGGCCTGCAGCGCTGAGGGAACAACACACCCCAACTGGTGCTGCCCTTGGAAAGGCGGGAAGACTCAGCACTCACAGAAGACGAGACAGTGAAGCTCATGTGGAGCGTACACAGGGGGCCTCAGGTGTGACTCAGACCCCAACCCCAAAACTGTTGAATTCCAGGTCCTGGAAAGAAACTCCACTGTCCAAACACGCCAGTGTGGAGAGCTTTGGGATTCACTTTTCTTTTTCTTTCACTGATTTTCTAGCCTTTTTCATTTCTCCTCCATTTTTGTTTTTCTTTTTTCTAGTTGGCTTTTTCTTTTCTGTTACTCATATTTGTGTCTATATTTTTACTTTTTAGCTGTTATTTTTTTATCTCTCACTCTTTTCTTTTTCTCTTTCTCATCTTGTTTTTTAATCAATTTCATTCAATTCCCTTACCACTCCATTTTAATTATTGCTGTATCTTTATTTCTTAGAATGTCTACTAATTTTTAGCCTTTCAGTTGTCTATACATTAGTATTGCCACTTTCTTTGCTATTGTTAATAGTGGTATAGCTGTGCTCATAAATGGTTTTCGGTGTATTTTATTCTCTGGTTTAACTTCAGACTGTTGCTACTGCAGTTTATCTTGTCTGAATGGTACTGTAAAGTGAGCCCTCAAAAAAGGCTGGTCACTAAGAAGACCCTCACATGGAAGAGTGGAAGACCTATCTATTCCCGCATATCCCAGTGTTGAGCATAAACCTCAACATTTGAAACACAATGAGTATGAAGAACTAAGGGAACATGATTCTTCCAAAGATCCACAACTAGTCAGTAACTGAATGCAAAGATATCAAAATGGGGAAAAGACTGCATAAAGAATTCAGAATTTCAAAAAATTTTAAATGATCAATGATTTCAAAGAAGATACAAATAAACACTGAAATAAAGTGAGGAAGACTGCAGGATAAGGAGAAATTCTACAAACAGATTCTGAAGAAAATCAAACAAAAATCTTGAAAAATAAACCTCAAGAAGTTAAATAAAAGAATTCAATGAAAGCTTCACTGGAAGTTTTCAAAAACACAGGATTAAGGAGAAAACAGAATTTCATGACTGATTCATTATCATACTCAAACAACAACAAAGAAAAATCAGGAAACCAAAAAGCTGAAAAACTATGGGACACAGTTAAAAGACCAATCCAGGCACAAGTAGCATGGCCAGAATGCATACCCTTGCAATATACTATAGCTAAAATGCCAAGAGAAAGAACAAAGGGAGAATTATCAAGTCAGTTATAAAGGGAAAGCCACCAGAATAATTGCAGATTTCTCTGCACAAACTCTAAAAACCAGGAAGAGATGGAATGATATATAGCAAATCCTAAACTGCAATATTCAAAAAGTTAATCTTCAAAATTAAAAGAGACACACTTTCCAAGATAAGCATATACTAAAGAAATGTATGACAGCCAACATAGAGGAAAATATTTAAAGGAATCCTACACAAAGAAAAAGTAAAGTAGATAAACAAATGGGAATTAGAAAATAACCAAATATTAGAAAAACAATATTAATAAATCAATAGTTATTCTGCACATCAACTAGCTGAGAAAGAAATGAACAGAACAATTCTATTCACAATAACTTCAAGCAACAATAAACTAAGCAATCAATCCAATCAAAAAGGTGAAAGACAAAGAAAATCATAAACACTGAATAAAGAAATTGAAGGTCCTGAAACATAGCTCAGCAGCACAGCACTTGCCTGGCAAGCGCAAAGTCCTGAGTTTGATTCCGGCATATACAAAAGTAAATACATAAATAAATATCATCATATTAAAAAAATTGAAGAGCAGAAATTGGAGATACCCCCATGTATATGGAAGGAGAGAATCAATACTATAAAATGGTCATGCTACTGAAAGCAATCTACAGATTCCCTGATGACATTCCTCATCCCAAAATTCACATGAAAACTCAAAAGCAATTCTCAGCAAAGAGCAATGTTAGAGCCATCATAAAACCTGATTTCAAATTATAGTACAAAATTTAATAATGAAATAACATGGTACTCACAAAAACAAACAAATCAGACATGTCACCAGTGGAATAAAATAGAGGGTATGGAAATAAAGCAACACAACTATAGTTATCTGATTCTTGACAAAGAGAACAAAATATATATGAGAGAGAAGACAGATTCTAACAAATGCTGCAGGGAAAACTGGGTATCCATACACAGACAATTTAAACCACATTCTTCTCTTATTCTGCACCAAAATGGATCAAAGGTGCCTGCTTTGGCAGTATATGTACTAAAACTGGAATGATATAGAGAGAAATATCATGGTTCTTGTGGGAAAATGACATGTAGATTCATGGTATGTTCTATATAAAAACAAAAACAAAAACTAACGGGTCAAAGGCCTAGTAATAAGACAGCGACAGTGACCCTTTTAGAGACCAAGCGCCCGAACTGAAACCCCAAACACCCTTATGTATTGCAAAGTGCCAACATCGCAATGAAAGCTGAACGGTCGGGTGCTGGGTGATGCTGGGGAGAGTTGTATCGTGTGCCCGCTGTGGAATGTGTGCGTAGGCTCGCCACCCCTGGATATGATGTGATGTGAACTCTAAAACTGCTAGGAGGAAACAGGAAAACACCTGATATTATAGACACAGGCTACGACTTCCACAAGACTCCAAAAACACAAATTAGTAATAACAATCAAAAATGGGACTACATCAAATTTAAAAACTTCACAGCCTAGAAAAACATTCAAATGAATTTTAAGATTCTTCTCTAGCTGTATGCTGTTGGTATTTTGATTAGAATTGCATTAAATCTGTATAACAATTTGGGAAGTACGGTAATTTTCACTATGTGGAAATCACTATTTTCACTATGTGAAATTATGTGGAAAGACTATGTGGGTTCTTCTTACCCAAGAACAAGGGATATTTTTCCATTTTCTAATATCCTCTTTGAACTTCTTTTTTTAGCATACCATATTTTTCAGTGTAAAGATTTTTTGCTTTTTTTGTTATATTGATTCTTATGTATTTCATTTTTTGGATGCTATTATAAAAAGTGTGGTTTCCCTAAATTTTCTCTCAATGAGTTTGTTATTTGTAAACAGGCATGCTATTGATTACTACGTGATGATTTTGTATCCAGCAAGCTATTGTGATAAAAACAAAACAAAACAAAACAACACAACATGGTACTGGCAAAAAAACAAAACAGGAACCAGTGGAGCAGATTAGAAGATGCAGACACAAACACATTCAGCCAACTTATCTTCAACAAAGGGGCCAAACCCCTCACTGGAAGAAAGACTATTTAAATAAATGGGGCTGGAAAACTGGCTTTCCACATGCCAAAGACCCATGTCTCTCACTGAACTAAAATCAAAATGGATCAAAGATCTAAATATTAAAACAGAAACACTAAATATACTGGAAGATAAAATAGGTAGAAATTTTGAAGACATAGGTGTAGGTAAAGACTTTTAACAACAAAACCCAGACCGCAAGGGAAATATTACAAAGAAACAATAACTGGAATCTCATCTTATTAAAAAGCTTTTACACAGCAAGGGAAACCACCAACACAGTGAAGACACAACCTACTGAGTGCAAAAAACTTTTGACAGCTGTTCCTGAGCCAAGGAACTAACATCTAGAATATATAAGCGATTCAAAAAAAATCAGACTTCCCAAATGTCAGTCCAAAAATGGGTTTCTGAAATGAAGAGACACTTCTCAAATGAAGAAGTACAAATGGCAAATAATATGTGAAAAAATAGTCAACATAACTAGTCATTCAAGAGATGCAAATTAGAACAAACTGAGATTCCATCTCACTCCAGAAAGAATGGCTACCATCAAGAAGTCAACCAATAACAAATGCTGGATGGGCTGTGAGGAAAAAGGAACCCTTCTCCACTACTGGTAGGAATAAGAATTGATGTAATCAATGTGAAGATTCCTCAACAAACTAGGATTAGATGTGCGATTTGACCCAGTTAATCCCCTTCTTGGTATCTTCCTGCAAGACTTAAAGACATCATACCAGAGCAACGTACGCATATCTATGTTTATAGCAGCACAGTTTCTAATAGCTAAATCTTGGAAACAGCCCAAATGCCCACCAACTGATGAATAAATAAAGATGTATTTTTTAAATACAATGGAATATTACACAGCCACAAACAAGGACAAAGTGGAGGCATTGCAAGGTAAAGGGATGGACCTTAAGATCAAACAGGGGCTGGAGATTTAGCTCAGCGGCATAAGCGCCTGCCTTGCAAGCAGGCAGTCGTGAGTTCGATCCCCGGTACCGATAAAAAAGAAAAAAACAAAAAAAAAAACCTAAAAAGATCAAACCCTTAAGTGAAATGAACTGAACACACATGTAAATATCACATTGTTTCTCTGGCACAAGAAACCAAAAATGCAAATAAGGGCTACAATGTATGCTAGATATTATGAAACAGGAAGAAAATGCTCAACTGGGAAAGGGGAACTAAGCAGGAGGGAAGGTGAAATGAAGAAAGGAAGAAAACAAAAATAGAAAAGATGGAAAATGGACACAAATTTTTGTAAATAAGGAGAGGAAGTAATAGAAGGGAAGATAAGGTAATGGAAAAAAAGAAGGTAATTAAGGAAAGTCACGTACATGTACAAAGTCTCTATTATGAAAATGATCGTTATGTATTTTTAAAATGTATCATTAAACTTAATAAAAAAGTAGAATCAATCAGCATAGCGAATACAAAATAGGAGAAACTCTTTTATCAGCTACTCATCCAACAATTAATACTTAAAATGTACAGAAATCTGAAAATACTTAATACTGAAAAAAGAGAGGGACACACAAATAAACTGAACACAGTTTCAGGGTACAAATGACCAGTAATTATATGAAAATATGCTTAACATATCCAGTCATTAGGGAAATGCAAACCAAAACTACACTGATATTCCATCTCACCCTAATCAGAATGGCTACTGTCAGAAAGAAAAGATAAGAGAAATAAATAAATACAAAGCACTAGGGAGGATGCAAGGGAAAAGGAACCTTTCTACAATGGTAATAAATATGAAATTAGCATACCCACTATGGATAGAGATGCCTCAAAAACTAAACACAGAACTACCACCTGATCCAGCTCTTCCACTACTCTTTGGTGTACACCCAAAGAAAGAAAGTGAGTACACTAGAAAGATCCCTTCATATCCACACTGATGATAGCACAAGTCACAGTGCTCTACATGGTAGCCATTCTACTATCCACCAATGAAAAAAACAAACAAAACCAAAAAATAACTACAGAAACAACGCATATATAGCAGTATTTTTCAGCCATTAAGAAAAGTATATCATCTGCAACAAAAGAGAACTAGACATCATGTTGAAAGAAGTAAGACTCAGAAAAACAATTCTGCATGTTTTCTCTAATAAGTGGAATCTGAAAACTATGAAAAAAATAAAGATAAAATTGAAGGCAGACTATGATTAGACAAAAGGAAGAAAATAAGGGGGCTGGGAGCAGCATGCAAAGGAGGGATCGGCAGGATAGACATGATCAAGAGAGGACATGTACAACACACCCCACTGAAACCCAGTATTCTATAAAACTAATATGCACTAATACAATATATTAGAGTGAAAGTCATAAAAAACAGAGAAGTATCAAAATTAAGAGCTTCAAAAGTTACTCACATCTCTAATACAGTCTTAAGTTGTTCAAGTTTGGACTTGTTTTCCTCAATTTCGGAATCATTGTTTTGTCCTAGTTCCATAAGAAGTTGTCGGGCAATATCAAGCACTTCCTATACAAGATAGTTAAAAACTGAATTTTTATGTCATTTTACCATTAAAAAGTTTAAATATGACAAGAAACTAAACGCACTTGCCTGTAATTGCTTTGGCTTTTTAAGTTTTAACTTCCCTGATTTGTAGCCGTCACATTTTTCAAAAAGATCAAAAAATCTAATAAAAGAAAATAGAGCACCGTTACACTTACAATAATTAATAGGCCCATCATATATTTAAGCTAATGAAGTGAGGTACAGCATAAAAACTGAACACCATGACTTTCACGCATTATGCGTTCTCTTTGCCTGCAGTGGACCACGTCCCTCCTCCACTTTCTGCTGTCCTGGAGATGGGGTCCTAGATTGCCCAGGCTGGCCCTCAGTTCCCTGACTCAAGTGAGCCTCTGCCTCAGTCTCCCTGTATCTGCAACTATAGCTGCACTCCACTGTTTTTGGTTTTGCTCCTCCCCATTTACTATGAAACCTACTACCTTCTTAAATCATGACAATCTGTCACCATGTTACTTTTCCAAAGTTTTCCCATGGTGGAAATTAAATACATAATTTTTTGTGATGCTGTGGCATATTCTCTGAAGTATATACAAATTAACAAATACCTTGTCAACACATACTCAATGACTTAGGTTTTCAAATTTCACCATCAAGCATTGAATAGAAATAGCTTTCTATTGACTTTCTTCTAGAAGGTTGAGAGGTTAATTCTCAGAATTCGATGTAAGAGAATGATAGACCAAGATTCGAGAATATCTTTACAACAATAAGTGAAAGCCAGGTATTTATGGATGTTAACATATTAATTTCCAGATGCAGCATATTTTTAATAAATATGTATTCAATGTTTTAAATATTAATTCCAAATATTTAGCATGTAAAAGTTTTCTATATGATATATTAATCCGAAGAACATAATATGCATCAGAACTTGAATTTATATCATTAGAGTTAAATTATCCTTCTTGAGACATACTTTTGGTGCCTCACTTCCATTTTCATTTTTTGTTTTGGTGTTCTATCGCCATGGCGTATGACAGCTATGACACATCTAAGTTCCATCCTGAAATTAAGAACAAAAAAGTTTTCAAATGTTTAATAAGGATTTGTGCTATGTAATGCAGTTTAATACCAGTCATTGATTTAAGGTCCTCTTTTACCTTTTCAAGTTCTTCCCCATGAAGAACAGTACTTAAAGTAAGCTAGTCTTAACTATATGAAATTAAACCTTATGAATAATTTAAGAGCTAGAGGAAGGGATGATAATAAAATATAATACACCTCATCTCAAGAGATTCCAGTGTTGACTCTTGGAGAAAAGTATGTGGAATCTGATCTCTGAATATCTGCCCTACAGCATTTGACAAGTATAGACTGTGATTTCTTTAAATCAAAGCACAATAAAGCTCTTCCTGATGGCTATAATATTTACACATTTGCCAAATTTTGCCTGTTTAAGAACAAGTATTTAAAACTCCACTTACTGGAAGATAAAACTATTTTAGAAGCATGCTCAAATTAAGGTCTAACTGACTGTTAAGTGTGAGCTGCTGAACAGAATCCAGCAACACATTAATAAAAGTTATCTGAAAAAAATTGTGAAGAAGTATGAGAAACGCTGACTTAAAAACAAAATGGTTTTTCCTCCCATCTGACTTTTCAGGATATTTAACACATTAACATAAATCTCTCAACTGTGAACACCTGAATTTTCAATAAGTAATCTTTCTTAGTGAAATGTTAAGAAACACTTTAGCAATATTGATCTAATTATTTTACCTCAAGATATACGTTGAACAGAGCTGAAGTTGTATGACCACTATGAACATTTAAGTAATATACTTAGGATGTTCCAGGATTCTGTTTATAAAAACATCAGAGATTTTTAGTCTAGTGGACCTTTGTAAAAGCATATAATCTACTCATTCATAGTCAGACCAAATTATATGAAAATATATATCATACAGTCCTTGTGGTCATTAAAAATTTATTTTTTCTTACAATACAATTAACTGACAGGAAAGCTCAAAAGTTTGCTGATGAAAAGAATTCAAACGTACATAGTTCCAGATGTAGTTGGTACAATTGGAATATCTTCAGCTTCTAAGGGTATTGACCAAGGGATATGAAATTGTGGAGCAAGCTCTCGCATTACAATGTTTCTTCGAGACAAAAAACAAAACAAAACAAAAAGTAAAAAGTTCCTTTAAAGATAGAGCTGGGACAGGATAATAAACAATCATAAGGCACATTAGTGAATATATAAAATTAACCCAAAGAATCAATTCTGATCAAGAAAAAACAGATTACTACTTCTAAATTGTTGTAAAAGAGCATTAAGAAAATGCCACAAATTTGAAATTTATGTGTTTTAGTTTTAAAATATAAATCAATATTGGAATTAAATATATCACTATCATTTCTAATTGCATACATTCTAGAATTCAAGATTCTTTTCTGTGAGAATATTGATCATTACTTTTATATTATTCACTGAACCTCTAAAATCTCATTCTCATGCTTTATTTTTTGGAATAGGGATCAAACTCTGGACCTTGCACTTGTCAGGCAAGTGCTTGTGCCACTGTGCTAAATCAGGCGTATTTTTAACAAATCAGTTCTATACTAATAAGCAGAACAATGTAAACACACATAAGTAATATCAGGTTTTGGTACTTTATACTTGTGCTAAAATTTAATGAAAAATACCCAATTTCATTTTAAGGATAAGTATACAAATTTTGCACACATGCAATAAAAATGCCCCTATTATTAAACATTTTAAAGTATTAAGTTTCCTATGGCTTTGCCACATATACTTGGAAATTTAAAAAATAGTTTTTGCTTTGCCAATCTTCTCAAAGTATTAAGGAAATAGATCAAAGAATACAAAAGTACTATGTCTATGTGCAGTAAGTTTTTAGATTCATTTGTAATTTTATGAAAACATCTTCAAACATCTAGTATCGTAGAAAGAATTGCAAAAATGCAAAAAAATGCTGAATTTCAAATATCTATTTTACTAGAGCATTTATTTCATATATGCTAAATTTTGTATAAGCAAATAAGACAATGAAATCTTTCAATTATTGTTACAAAGTAAAACCTTGAGGGATGTTTTGATTAATCACTTCTAAATCTATGAAATTAAAGTCTAGGCCTTCATTGATAATAGTCATAAATAAATCTACCATTGATACCTTTGAATATAGTTCAGGATCTGGCCATCTTTGAAAATATATTTTATGAACACTGAGTTTTAATCTAGAATTTTTTTTTAAAAAACCTATTCATCTAATATTAACAAGTATTTGATTTCTGAATCACTAGTAGGCAAAAGAGAAAAGTTAATAAATACTTACCCAAGTATTTTTGCACAATCATCATAATACTTCATGGAATTCTTCACAAAACTGAAGCCATTGACATCACAGACATAGGACTGTCCATTTGCCCGTAATAAATCAAAGCCACAAACTGTTTGCTATTTAAAACAAGTTATATGCTTTAACATTTAAATTATTATAATTCAGTTTTCTAGTCTTATTGAAACAAATACTCTATAAATGACTAGAAGTTTACTGGTATATGTTGGTTTACTTCTTGGTAAGAAATTAAATAAATAAGTAAATAAAGAAACAGCAATATTCTGAGGATATACTATGTATTCTGCACAATTATTTAAGCTCCTGGTCATGAAACATACATAGAGTAATAATTCACAGAGGATTAGAAAAGCAACATAAAGACATATATCAAAATATCTTTGATTAACACTTAAAAAAGAAACAGTCTTAAGGGTTTTGATGAATAAAATTTACGTTAATAGAAATTAGGTCATCTTAATCCCTATTCCCCAAAAGAAAAAATTCTAGAGGAAGTGTTTAATTATCTCAGTAAATCTTCTAAAACCTGGCCAACCAGATGTGGTGGTGCACACCTGTAATCCCAGCAACTGGGAGGCTGGGCAAGAGTATTGTTGTAAATTTGAGACCAGCCTGGGCTACAAAGTGAACCCAAGGCCAGTCTGAACTGCATAGTGAGACTCTGTCTCAAAAAGACAAAAAATAAAATAAACAAAAAATAAATAAAACCGGGAAATATATATGAGTAAGTACTAGAAATAAATTTATATAAAAGAAAACCACTGAAAGGTATAAATTTCCTATTTAAATTCCAAGAATTTTCTTATGCTTTGCATTTTATGTTCAAATCATCATGCATTAGTTTAAAGTAATTTTAAGTCATATAAGTTTTGGAACCTTTGCATAATCAAATAATTTATAAGAATCCCCTAAAGCTTACTAGAGGCTAGCATTCCAAATGAATAATACAACTGACTTTTAAAAGTAGGGTAAGCAATACCCTAAACAATGGTTGGCCACAATATTCTGTATGCTTTAAATTTCTGAATAAATGGATACAATTTCCGTTCATATAGTACAGAAAGACTACACTGTACAATACATTAACGATGAACGGTTCAGATGTACTAATTATGTTCTCAGCTTAACTTCTCTAATTTTAAGCCCAAATAATGTTTCTTACTCAACAAAGTAAGTTAAAATTCCTTTTACAAGAGCCAGATGGCTTGTAGAACATCTTACCTTAAAAGCAAGGCAGACTTTCCAAGCGATTAACTTCTCTCGCGCATTGAGAATAACAGGGTATCTGACTTCTTTGCCTTCACTGTCTCGCTCTACCTTGCCATCAAGTGCTGGCGATTTCCGAGCTTCAGCATGAGCATAATCTGGACCCACTGTATAAACCTTCCATGAATGTTAAGTATACAGAGCAAATATAAAACCATGAATAATAAATTCCAAGAAAGAAATCAGTAAGAATAGTTCAGACTACAGCATTAGAAAGACCTGTCTTTACTTTACATGCCAAAAATTTCAACATATTGGAATATAATTACTTACTCATCATATATGGCAAAATTGGTAAGGTGAGGTTTCATTTTCTACAGAAAACTATTATTCCAACCATGATATTGTCCAAATTGTTTTAACAAAAGAGAGACAGAAATCGCTATAAAACATTAGAGAAGGAAAATCTGTCCCTCCTAAGAAAGATTTAAAAGGAGTGAAGGAATGAATACAAATTTAGACAAGAGAAGGAAAGGGATTCTACTAAGCAGACTTAATGAACATAAAAATAAAGAGATGAAACCTGATTCGGTAAGGGAAGGTTATTTGATACAGTTCATTCCAGAATACAAGAGATTTGTAAGACAGAGGACTGAAATATCTTTTTTGCCAGGCTTATGAATCTGCTTCTCATCTTGTGGTGAAGTGAGAATCCATAAGATAATTTTTAAGAAAAGGTTTGGTTCATGGTAAAATGTACACGTTAGAAAGAACAGTCTGAGAGAAATGACAAGGTGAGCAATTAAGATCTCATTTGCTACCGGTTGGATTCCTGGTTTTTTTATACCATGCTCTGGATGTCACAGATCTCAAAATATCTTTACAATAGTGATTTGGAAACTGGTGGTTATTAGACTCTTAGAATTGTACATGTATTATTACATCAAAAAATTTCAGTTTTACATATTTTAATAACTATACTCCAATAAAAATTGTTTCTTTCCTCATTTTTTATCCACTTATTTATTCATTTTTTTGAAATACTGAGGATTGGAACTAGGATCTCGGCAGTGAGCTGTGTCTTTATCCTTTTTAAATGAATATATAAATGCATATACCCTTCCCTAGCCTCCGAGTCCTGGGATGACAGGCATGTCCCACTGTGTCTGCTTTCACATCTGTTTAAGTATTCAAGAACATTAATTTTTAAAAGGGTTCATAAGCTTCCACTTGCCAAAGGAGTTCATGGAATGAAACATTAAGAATCCCTAAACAAAAAGAGATCCAGAACAGAAGTTACCAGAAGCTAAGGAGTATCTTTTTCTGAGACTACTGCTAAGCTCAAAATCCAAAATTATATCTACATAAACTTGTGGCTTTTTCCCACTTGGTTTATGGTGGTACAAAGACAATACAGAAATATAGACATTTAGAAATCAGACTTTGAATTTTTGTCTTTTCCTGAGCCTGTGATGCTGTGTGGCCTGACACTCTCTCATGATGCACAGCAGTGTCAGTGAGTTACAGCTTCCAGGCAGCCAAGCAATGGTGAACATGATATCCTAAGGTACACCATGCTACTCATCTACTGTTCTCAGCATGGTAAGTGCTGCAACTGATTTTTGGATGTATGGCATTTGCAACTTTCAAAGAATTGATCATCATCATGTAACCCTGATTTGTAAGTTAGGAGCATCTGTATTTTAATCCATTCTATGAACACCAGTACCACTGTAATATTTAAAATTTAAAAATACACTTCCAATCGTACCTTAACATCAGTACCATCTGTGGGCATAAACTCTTCATATATATATGAACCTGTTTTTCGTACATTGCTTTCTGGGGAATACACACTACTTCTACTGCCAATCTGAAAAGAAAAAATGTCCATAAAAATAAAAGCCAAATTATTTTCCTCATTTTAATAATACAACTCTTATTTACCATCTATTCCCATTTTAGAAATTTTCAAATAATTGATTAATCCATATTTAACAATGCCCATTATGTATTTGGTACCATATTATTTTGTGCTGTCTGTAAATTATACAAAAGTTAGACGGCATAAAAAAACAGTGAACACAAAGAATTGCCTCTAAGATTTAGCCATGCTGGGACATGTTCATTTTTTCTACTACAGCATTTTTTACTGTCTAAATACACAAGTGTGCATTTATTTTCCAATGTTAGGTTGTTTTCTAAGCTTTGGTTATTAAAATGATGTTGCTCTAAATATTTTTTAAGTGTTACCATACCATATGTACACAATTGTGTTTATAAGGAATTACTAAGTGGCTCGTGTTTACTTTCAAAACTATTGCCAAAATCTTTTAGAAACTATTTTAACAATTTAGTTTCCCCAGCAATATGTAAGAATGCCAGATATTCTACATTCTTGTCTGTACTTGACATTGTTAAGCTCTAATTTTGGAACTATAATGGATATTTAAATGCTATATTATTGTGTTTTTTAATATTTTATTTTATTAGTACATGTTTGCAATACATTAAGTTTACATTCACTTTAGAAAGTACATATTCAACACATTTTAAATTTTTATTCCTCTTTCTCTCCCCACCCACCATATTCATGATTATGTAGATGTACTTTCAATTCTGATACACTGCTAAATTATATTGCTAAGAGGCTGAATTCTTGCCAATAATTTTAGGGGACTGCATTTATTCCTAATTACTTCAGTATTTTTTTTTTGTATTTGTCAATTCAAAAATAATATGCTATCATTATACTTACATTTCATTTATCTTAAACATATATTCATATAAGTAAAAGTTATTGGTATTGCTTTTTACCTTTTCTATGAATTCTTTTATTTTCCTAGAACTTTTTCTAAAACTGCTTACTAGTAACTGAACTTCTAGTTCTACAGAAATATAAATGAAAGATAAAAGGAACAACTGTGTAAAATCTTGGTACTTTGCAGACAGGAATATTGCATAATAAAATTAAATAATCAGCATGACAGCTTGCTTTTCTAACACAATTTGACATCAATTTTATGAATTTACCTCTAAACAAAACATTTCAAGGAGTTCAATATTTAATCATAATTTTATGAAATGTTTGATTACTTTCTATAAAATCTGTATTATCTTTTTAATAAAACATACATAACAATGAGGAACACTATATACAAAATTACAAAGGTTCACCTTTCTAAAAAGCCTTTGACTTCCACCTCCAGCAGAAGTTGGATAATAAATGTAAACATTGTGGTCTTCTGCACTGACTGGCTTTTCTACAAATGGCTTTTGGAAAACTTCCCCATTCACTTCTACGTGATCTTCCCCTTCAATCAGATTGCATTCTGCAAGTCAAATAGCAGGAAAAATTATATATTGTATTATATTATCTAGAGTACAGTTTTCTGAACTAAAAAATACAATATACTCTGCTTTCCCCCAAAACTATTTTTAAGCTTTCCTAGTAAAAGTAAATTTACCTTCCTTTAATAATATTCATGAGGGAGGGAAAAAATAAATAAACCTTTTTTACACCAAGAATTCTCAACTGTGACTGACTGCAAGTTATAAGCACCCACATTGGAAGCTTCTGGAAAATTACTGACATAGAATCTTGGGGGCTAGGGAGTTTAGCATAGACCTTTTTTTAAAACCTCCCTCAGGATTCTAATTTGCATCTAGGGTTAAAATCTTGTTTTTCTTCAGTCCTCCAAAGATTAATATCACAGTACAGTAATCAGCAGCAGTAGCACATTTCTCTTTGCAAATCTACATTAGCAATTAGTGCTTTTGAAATGGATGAAAGCACACTTCAGCACAGCAACTTCCTGTTCCATTTATATCTTCTATTTCCTGCCCCACGAATAGCTTACACACTACTTTGTAGATAAACAGAGGAAAAGGAATAGCAGGTGCTTTCATACATTAACACTATTATTTCAGATTTTCCAGTTCTCAGATATCTAACCTTGGCATGACAGCATATCACAGATGAGTCACTTGCTCTTTCTTAATCAGTGCAAATTTACTAGGCAATCTGAAAATTCTCTTTTGGGATTCTCAGACATATGTCAAATGCAGACCAAAGAAAATTAGGATAAATAATCCTAAATTACCAGTTAACCTTTTACCTCATAACAACATACTTTAATTGAATATAATGCTTGCTATTTTAATCCTTAAAAAATACTAAGTTAAATACTATGAATTCTTTAAATTTCTTTTACTTAATAATTGCAGAGAAGTAGCCAAAAGTAAGTCAAGTACAAAAGGTAACTTGTTTAAAATCTCTTCTTTTTACCTTTGGGGTTATTTGGATCTCGGTTCAAAATTGCGTAACGAGGAAGTAAAATACCTTCAGCTTGAAGAATACTATATACTTCTCTCCTAAAGAGAAAAAAAAATAGACCTATTGTTTTAATGCTCAATTTCACATGAGTGTATTATTGTATTTTGTAAAATATATTACTGTTCTGTTAATCTAATATTGTCTACTACTATTAATGCCATTGAGCATTAAAAAAATAAACATCATTTCAAATACTGAAAATATTTTCTAAGGAAATGCTCATCAATGACAGCAGAAATTGAATATTTATGTAGCATATCAAAATGCCAATTTTTAAAGCAAGAATGTAAATGCTAAAAAAATGGTTAAAGTTGATATGGCCCACTCATAGAATATAACCTGACCATTAAAATTCTTGGGCTCAAATAATATTTAAATATATTGCTAAGAGGCTGAATTGTTGCCAATAATTTTGGGAACTGCATTTATTATGGTGAAATATATACAGGACATTAAGAGAATGCTATTTCTAGTTGATAAAGTCTGACTTTATATATGCATTGCTTACTATACAAAAATATGGTAGCTACCATATGGATCAGCTTTATGATTTAACTGTTCAAAGTTCTTAGAACAAGGATCTTATATATGCATATACTTGTAATATATATATAAGTATGTACTTGTGCAAACCTAAGAAAACTGTTTTAAATGTTTAGAGAGTAGTAAAGCTACTGTCTGATAGAAAAGAAAAAACCAAAAATAGAAAAACAGAAAATTATAGGGTCCTTACTTTATAAAATATTTTCATATATAATCCCCTGGTTACACAAAAAATAAAATGCTGGTGAAATTGTCCGGGTGGGTATCAGTGAAACATCAATTAAATAAAATACATAAATATATGCTTAAAATTTCTTTCAGAAATATACTATTTTGATTTGTTCAATGAATGCTGATACACAGAATAAAATATTTTTAAAACTTTATACATCTTAGCATTCATTGTGTTTATAGTACTACATACTAAATAAATGTTAATTTTCATTCCCTTAATTTAGCCAACTTTACCACTTACCTGTCTTGTATGCGATACTGCATATTCAAGTCATTGATTACAAATGGATTCCTGAGTTTTGCATAGGCAACTGCTTTGTCCAGTGGAAATCCTAAGAACACATATTATTAACATAGTCTGTACCGTCTCAAAATAAATTGGCATCTATAACTTTAGCAACTTCAAGTGTTGCCACTGCCCAAAAAATAACTGTTATGTACACACTGCCTTCTATAAAATGTATAGAATATACAGACTCTGATTTATTGTCTAGTATTAAATCTCATTTTTTCCTAGTTAAGGTAGTTGATAGGGCACACCAAGTCAGTGGTTATAACCAAATTAGAGCACCGACATGTTATTTGATGTATGACTATTCAAAGTCCTTTGATATCCTTATATACAAAGAAAAATCTATACATAAATAGCAGACTACATCACAATCACTTAATGATTTTAAAAATACACTGCATAGGTAACTTCTTCATTTGATATTTTCATGTCTATACATACAAATGATTTGATATTTAAAGAACTTACGTATGCTTCAAAAAGCCAATACAAAAGTTAACTCACATGCAACACACAAGCTCAAAGTATAAATGAGCTCATTCATGCTGCTGCTAGGTCACTGTTAGACAACAAAATTAATTTCTTAAAATTGCTAGACTTTCATTGTCCTAGTTAAAATGTAAACACAACAAATGGCATATATGCTAAGAAGAGGCATAAAAAATTTAAAGAATTATCTATTGATTGATATTGGGGACTAAATTCAAGGCTTCTCCACAAAGCGCCATCTCAGTATTTTTTTTCAGTTTTCTATTTTGAAACAGGATCTCCCTAAGTCTGTAAGTTGCCCAGGTGGAGCTTGAACTTGAAATCCTCAACTCAGCCTTGCAGAATGCGGTAATTCCAGGAGTCTACTGTCACACTCTGCTCTGAACTTTAATGTTCATATTTAACTCTTGATAGTGATGGTAAAGTCTCCAGTAGTATCCATCAACACACACTAGTGAGAGAGGCAGCAGAGCCAGCCTGGAGGTGCATGCCTATCTATAGTCAGTCCTGGCACTCAGGATGCAAAGACAGGAAGACTGCTCGGGCCAGGGGTTTGAGACCAGCCTAGCATTCAAAAGTATAAAGTAGTTCACAACCTGACTCCATCTTTCACTAGCTATGAATGTAACTTTAGGCAAACTTATTTAACAATGCTAAACTTATGATCCTAACTGTGAGTTAGCATACCAGTCTTACCTAGAAGGATATTTAAGATATTAAATAAAAATTATGTCAGTATAGTACCTGCTATAGTAAGTGCTCAATAAATGCTACCTGTTATTCCTTAAGTGACAATGTTTTAATAAATATCTTTTTTATAGAAAAGCATAAAAATAGCAAGCATATACAACTTTAGAATTTAACTAATGAATATTAAATATATTAGTAAAGATACTATATTTTTGCAGCATTAGAAGAAAATTAAAGAGAAAGCATTAGCATGTACCAAAATTTAAAAACAAAGCTCAAGATTTATTCCTAAATTCCTTAGTTTTCACAATTTAAGCAGAGACTCTCTACTAAGAATCAGCTACAAATTTCATATTCTTCAAAGTACTATGAGGACTCTTAGAATTTCACTCTTGAAAAGACGTCTCAATATCTCTGATTTCAAGCCTCATGGGGGTGGGGGACCAGGAATTAAACTCTGGACCTCACCCTTGCCTGGTAGGTGCTTATACCATTGAGCTACATTCCCGACCCCTCAAGCCTCCTAACAGAATTTAACAAGTAGAAAACAGCTATAGTCAATTTTCTCTTTTTTCCTGATGTTACAGAGAAACATTTTCTTTATCAGGAAATAGTATATGAGACGTGGCTTGGACGTAGCACTCAGCTTTTAGAGGCAAATACATGATTCTATCAAAAAAATCACGTGACTGTAAGGGAACAATATCTTACCCTCAATATAAGCAAGTTTTAAAGTTATCTGAAATAAGGAGTGTCAGCAAAGATCAGAGCTTTGATTCCTCATTTAATAATGAAACTTAACTTATAGTAGAGGAGCACAAAGTCTCAAGCACGCTTCCTCTTCCTCCTGTTGAAGTGGGACTTTAACAGCTCAGACTACAGATTTTAGTAATGATTAAATATCATGTGAATAATTTACAATGGAAAATTATAGTTCTTAGTGGGAAACTCACTTAACTCATAGATTTTTAGGTTACAAGTTTTCAGACATAACACTGATCAGTAACTGATTAGTGGAACTTATCATTAAATAATACTTAGTATACTGATTAATAAAAGCTAGAAAGATCTAAAATTTTAAATATTAAGTTCTTAAGAAATGAAGTATAAATACTGGTATAATAAGACTAAGATCATTTTCCAAGTGGCAAAAATATAGGGCTTAAAATATGCAATTATTCCACGATTTATCCTGTGAAACTTAAATGCAAACATTCAAAGAGCTGATTACAACCTTAATTTTAGTATTAAATACTGAAAATCATCCAAATGTTCAGATATTAGTTAAATATGTTATGGTACAACTACCCAATAATATACTAAGCTACATTAAAAATGATGTTATTGAAGAATGAGAGAGATTAAAACCCCTCTTGATAAAACACTAAAAAAAGTTAAATGTATACTTACACAAATGCTATGACACTAAATTTAAAAAAATACAGAAGAAAGCTGGAAAGAAATATATCAAGATATTAACACCACTTTTCTATGAGTGGGTTAGTTTAATTTTATTTCTGTATTATTCAACATTCTATAATTAATTATGTAATAATTTTTAATCAAAAAAGAGAAAGGACATTCCCCCCTATTTTTATTTTATTCAACATTCTATAATTAATTATGTAATAATTTTTAATCAAAAGAGAAAGGACATTCCCCCTTCTTTAATACCTTTAGAATGGAAAGAAATAAGACAATCACATAAGGGCCAATTTTCCACTGGTTCATTCAATATAACTTCCTCTTCAAATACTACTACTGTGATATATTTAAATAAAGAGATCCGTTCCAGAATTTCCTTCATTGGCTTGGATTTAGATTTCTTTGCCATGGAACATATTCCAACTACAATCTGCCTTTCTGGAGGCTAAAACAGAAACAAAATAAAAAATCAGATTAACTTAATATGAATTGTAAAATACAGCTATCTTAATTTCATTTCAGAAGAAGATGAGGCATGTAATAAATCAATAAAAGTGACACTTCAACCAACAAAAGCATTTCAAAAATTTTAACCATAGGGGCTGGGGATTTAGCTTAGTGGTACAAGCACTTGCCTGGCAAGCACAAGGTCGAGTTTGATCCCTGATTCAAAAAAAAAATATTTTTAATCATAAAAGTTATAATAAAAATTTTTAAACAAAATAAATTTTCTACCAAAGGGGGGAGAAATTTTAGATAATCACTTTCAGAACCTTTTCACAGTTTTCAAACTTAAGACTTAAAAAAAACAAAAATCCCTTCTTTTATTGCTGCTAGCATTCATATACCTTCCTCAGAGCAGAAAGGAGAAATAAGTACCAAAATGCACCTAATCCAAAAGGTCAATGGAACCAAGATAAAGAAATTTATTTGAAACCAGGTATGGTGGTGCATTCCTGCAATCCCAGCAGTCAGGAGGCAGAGGCAGAAGGATTGCCAGGAGTTCAAGGCCAGCCTGGGCTACATAGGAGACCCAGTCCAAAAAAATCTCGCCTAAAATAAGATGAAGTTCCAACTACAAAGCTACGAGGTATTCCAGTACAGTATTTTTATCTACTGAGCTACAATATGGTCACAAATGATAAATTCAATGGAAATTTTAAAGAAAGCTCTATTGCTAACAGATATCAAGATTTTTGATACTCCAGTCTTCACAATCATTCCTACTTATGGCTCAAATGTCATGAATCAGTCTAAACTAAGAAGGCAGAATACAGAAACAGTAACAATCAGTACTTCATGGGTTTATAAAACTACTCAAGATTCACTCTAGAATTCTAGCATTCAGGTGTCTAGAGATTTATCAACTGTATAAAGTGGTATTCAGTTTGTCATTTCCTCTCTTTTACATGATTTTATATATTTCATATGATGACATAATCTAGGTTCAAAAGTGTATTAAACTTTCTCTAAGAATTTAATTTTATGAAAGAATAAAATTGGATAGCCCTGGAGTTAAGTGGTTCTTTATGCCTAGAACTGCATTTCTACATTGCTTCTTTTAACTCATGAAATTTAGCCTTCAAATCAGTATTAGATTTGATTATAAACTGTAACCTTCCCAGGATCTGCTGCCTTTATCTCTTCTGTGCATGAAATTTTACATTCAATTTATTCCTCATCAAAAAGACTTGGTGTAGCTCATTCTAATCATTTCACATTGCTCTAATCTTAAAAAAAGAAGGCAAACTAAAATATTCTGTTGTTCTATTACAGACTTATGTAATATCTATTCATGGCTAAAATGAACAAGAAACATTCACATTTAAAATATGAATAAACAAATCTGTATTTGAAGACCCAACAAAATTTTCTTATTAGATAAAAACTTAGAAGCCCAAAAATAATTTTTAAAACAAATCTATGTTATTATGTTAGATGTAATGCTTAACAAAACAGAAATTCACTTTAAAATTGTAACAGAAGAACATCTGGAATAAGTCATTGTATGAAGCTATAGGTGAAATGAATCAAAGCTCTCTGAAAGTGACAAATGAAAATTTATGCAAACCCAGCTTATCATCAATATCCCAAGAACTATATTAACTGCTGAAGACAGGATATACGAAAGTAGCTGTTAACAAAGTACTTTGAGTATAACAGAGACTACAGTAATAATACACTATAAAATGGGACAGATGTAACATACATCAAGGTACTGACATAGTATTGAGGCAAAAGTGATCAAATTTCTCTGCGGGGGAAAAAAGCAAGAAGAGTGGAAAGAGTCAAAAACATGAAGTCCGAGCATGATTTGAAGATTAAAGCATAATTCACCAGCTACTCCAAAATAAAAGTATGTTGGAGAAATCAAGAAGCACACACAAGAGCAAAATCGTGTAGAACAGCATGGAATAAATACATGCAAATAAAAACTTGGATATTACTGAAACATAAAGGCTTGAAAGGATAGGAGATATCTAGGGGTAGATTTGAAAGAGATATAAAGCCTTTAAGTGTAAGACAACTGGATTTGATCTACCAGTGGGACTGACACTGCTCAAAACAGCAGAGGAAAAGGGTAAGCCCAGGAAAGGCCGCGTCAACAGTGCTTTCTAGCCTGTGGGAGCCAATTAGCCCTGCTTTCTCTTACGTTTTACTTACTGGACTTACTTATATTTCATATGAAGAAAGTTTTGAATGGTAAGAGAAAAACTTGAAAATCATTACCTGTTTAGGAGTACCAAAGCCTACTGTATTGAAGTTTTTAAACAGTGACAGTCTAATTTGTATTTCATATATATATATATATATATATATATATATACACACACACACACACACACACACACACACACACAGTGGAATTACATATGTATTTATATGTGTATATAAACAATGTTGCTTAGAGTGAAATTACATACATAAATATAAAAAGAAAGCAATGAGTAAGAATAATGTAGGACTGATGAAACTGTAGCAGAACATGATAAATGGGTATCATTCCTAAAATCCAGTATGGGTATAATATTCTAATACATCAGAAAAAAAATATAACACACGCATATAGAAACTTGAGTTAGGCTCTCCTTCTAGCCACTCATTTTGTGGACTTCTGAACTGTTAAGAGCAGTGTATCTCACTTAACTAGCACTTTGACTGGCATTAAACAATGAATTTGTTAAGTGGTCCCCCTTCTCTAATAACTTCAAAATGATTTTTCTATTTCTTTATCTTGATGCACTTGTTACAACTTTATACACAAAAAGCTTTTTACAGCTGATATTTATTTCTCTTAGCCACTACTGTACTGAACGCTGGTACACTATACATTTCACTGAAGGAAATTAAAACAGGTACCATTAAACTCAGAAATCTCACCCCTAATTATACTTATAGTAGTATTGTAGTATTTCTTGATTTGCCATCAACTCAAAAACATAACTCATAGAAAATACACTTTTTTCAATATAAAAAGTTAACGAATTTATAAATGAAAAATATTAATTTAAAAGTCCAGTATTACTTCCCCATTAACAGTGATCAGTAAAAAATCCTACACTGCCCTCATCTCCCACCAAACAAAGAACTTACAGACTCATCCTCTTCCTCTTCCTCTTCATCTGCGTGGTGGAAGAAATGTCGGTAACTTCCAGGATTTATTTCTGTATCTTCGGGTCCAACAAAGAATCTGGGGCCTTCACTCATTTTTATTTCATTTGGTACAGAAAAAATTTAAATAATCTATATTAAAACCGCTTCTGCATAAGAAGCATCCGAAGAAGGGATTCTCTTAGACTAGTTGGCACATGTGTATCTGCTGTGTTTTGTTTTTGCTTATACAATCACTGGAAACTGTGATGATAGTTGGCAAAGGCTCCTTTGTTCTCAGATATCAGTGCTTCATTGTTGATATGCTTAAAATACAGAGAGACTATTGTTTCCCTGAGTTGATACAGCTATCTTTGTACCTAAAATGCAATAAAAAAAATTAACTTGGACAGTGTACTTCAAAAATATACATGTAAAAATAATTTTAAATGACACAAAGTCAGCACAAATACCATCAAAATAGAAACACATTTTATTTCACAAAATTAAGAAAAAAACATTAAAATGCTTAAATGCATTGCAGAAGTTTGATAAAACACAAAATAACAAAATAATCAATATTATGTTAAGTTCAAAAGTATCTAACAAATTGAGAATATTCAAGTGTTTTTACAAATTACATTAATAGTTAAGTCCCTCATATTTCAGAAGTATCTGAATATAAAAAAATACAGATAAAGTACTGTACACGGTAGACCCTAAACCATTCACAATTGGCATTATGTGAAATTATACTAACTCAGCTCGAAAACAATTTTTGCCAGGCCTGGAGAAGTACATTTGTAATCCAATCATTTTAGGAGTCTAAGGCAGGAGAATCACAAGTTTAAGCCCAACCTAGTTACTCAGTGACTTAGACAATTTCAATACAAAAAATTTAAAAGAACACTGGGATTCAATACCTATTACCAAAAATAATAATAATTTTTTGGGAATGTAACTTCATATGTAAGTCAACAGTACCAAAGGTTAGAATGAAAATAAGGTTTTATTCCAACAACAGCTCTTAAACTTGTAACAAGTTTAAATTCTTTAGCAAACCATACATGTGTGAGTAGAAGCTAAGCTCATCTACAACCTATGGAATACAAAGAAATGTGTACCTCACAGATTTTTTCCCCTAAATATGAATGAACTTAACTCAAACTCAGTTTCATTCTTTAAGGTGTTTAAAGAACATAGCTATATATCTTCATTTGAGTGTAAGCTTAGATCTGTCTTTGTCACCCACTTGAAGAAAGGCAATAGACAAATCAACAAATAAATGCGTTAGGAAGATTTTGTTAGTAAGACCATTAAGCAGGAATTTAAATTCAATTAAGAAGTCACCCATGAGGTTCTAAGAGCATTGCAAGTAAGAAACATAAAAAACTTAAAGGTCAAAAAGCAGAAGTGTGTTTGGCATATTTGCTATACTCAGGAAAAAGTAAGGAGGCTGGGGAACAGCAGCTAAGCAAAGAGCAGCACAACAGAAAATGATGGCAGAGGAAGGCAGAGATGCATGGAGAGCACCGGGAACAATTTCAGCTTGGAAAACTTGTTACAAAGACAGTAAGAACAACTGAGCCTCCAAAGAACCAAAGGTTTAAGGAAGGCTTTATTTCTGTTACTCCATTTCAATATATGAGAGATACATACAGATACTATAACAGGGCTGAACCGATTAGTGGTTAAGAGGACAGATTCAGAAGAAAAATATTTGGGTTGGAATTTTGAGTCCAATAACTGTACAACCTTGAATAATTTCCCTGGGTCTCGGTTTCCTCATCTGTAAATTGTACCTTCTCTAATCTGTTGCAAGTATTAAATATAAGACTACATTAAATATGCTTGTGAATCCATTTCTAGGTCATGCTCTATTCCAATTAAATCGGAACATTTGAGAGGAGTCTCAGATATTTTTAAGGATTCCCAGGTAATTCCAAAGCAGCCACATTTACAGACTCATGCACTACCCAAAACAGGAATGGAGGTAGAACTTCGGAAGTGAATAGAAGGCAAACGCATATTCACTAGTGTTAGAATGTTATTATAAGAAATCTGAGTACATCCAGCAATAAAAGACCAAAAAAAAGGAGCTAAAACAGATGAAGCATCTCTTGGTATCCAGCATATCTCAAGTACCCGATAAATAACCACAAAACTTGCCTTAATATTACTCAGGTTTTCTCTTTATGGTTCATTTTGACCTTTGGTCACCCATAAACTTAACCTTACTTAACAGTTCGGATTATTTACATTTCATGCCCAAAATGTAAACTTCAGGGCAATGAATATTTATTAAATATTGTTATTCAATAAGTATTCAATTTGCTAACGCACAACTTCCAAACACGTTGCCTCACCATGCATGAGTTATGAATACACCCCAGAAATTGTCTCAGCTATTAAGACAGCAAAACAACTTGCAATCTCCTGGTCAGCTGTCAACATTAGCACTCTCTTTAGTCTTTCTAGGATATAGTACAAATACTACAATTTCTATCTATGACAATGTGAAAAAAGTTAAGAAGCATTTAAGTTATACACTGGGATTAGGGTTGGCTTCTTACTTTTGCGTTTGTTTGTAATATGCAGTATTGTGGATTGAACCCACAGTCTTCATACTACACTGCATCTGCAGGACCCTCTCCCACTTTAAATTCTGAAATCAATAGTTGTCCAGGCTGGTCTCAAACTTGTGGTCCTTTTGCCTCAACCTCCTAGGCATGCACCACAAGCCTGTAATTCTAGTTATTAAAGCTATTTTCATCATTGTATAGAGGCTTTAAGGGTACAGCTGAAGGTCCATTTCATTATTAATGAACACTTGAAACTCAAAGTCTAATTTGAACTTCACAAAAATCAATCAATGATCAGTCAATAAGATCTATAAATGTCAACTCTATCTGTTTAAACCAAAGGACATCTAACATTCACTTAAGAGCAAAAAAATCAGGGTGTCATAAATTTTATTACATTACTACCAATAGTTAAATTCTTGGAAAACTATAGAATAAGTGTTTTTCTCTCATTCAAGGCACAGCTAAGTATACCTTTTTTCCTCTTACCCAAGGGAGATATATATATACATATATATATATATGTATATATATATACATACACACGCATATATATATATATATAGATAAGATAGATAGTATTATATATATCTAGTACAAAATAACATTTAATGAGCATTCTACGATATCTATGATATTTTAAATAATTTTTTAGATAATTGAACCAAATAATGATTTATGCATGTAACATTTCCACATTATTCAGCATTTTGATCAATGTTTAGTCATAAATTGCAAAATGGCCTTACAGATGTACACACTATTCAAATATCAAAATTGAATCTTTAGTTTTAAGGTTCCTTCCATAGAAGCCATCCCAAATTGGACTGGTTGCATTACTATTATCTAGTCCATTTGTGAAGCTCAAATTACTAGGTCTATGGCAAATTTTCCTAAGCAGCAATTTTTAACTAGAGAATCTATACTTTAATGGTGCAGCCAGGTTTGAGAATCTTCCTATATCTGTGCAAAAGACAAGCATCACTTAATCTTGATTTCTGAATTTAAAATGAGTAACATTCTAGTAAGGTTTCCTCACTAAAAGAAATATGTATTATTGTTCTCAAATTCCAGTATACCTTAGAATAACCTGCAGGGCTTGTTAAAACACTGAACTAAAAGGTCTGGGAGTGGAGGCCAATAGAGGCCTAAAAGTTCCAAGGTGATGCTGATGCTGCTTGACTTGGAATTAAAATTTTGAGAACAACTGATCTACAAGACTTTGACAAAACTAAATTTGAATGATTGTTCTGACATTTGCTCAGCTGTGTGTCCTTAACCAAATTACTGAACCTCTCTAGCCATCATCTGTAAAATGGAATTATAAATATTATAGTTATGAAGATGAAACAACAACATAGATTCCATCACAACTAGCACATATAAAGGACTAAGAAAGGTTAGCTGTTTACGTGTTATGCTAACTGTTGTTATAATGAAGACAGAGATTTCTCACTTTAACTGGCAATGAACAAACACAGATTTAGACCTGATTAGAATGTAACTACTTACCTTCTATCTAATAAACACAGAAACTCCTCTTTCCTACTGCTACTTATAGGAATTCCCATTACATCTTTCCCAGTTTTACCACACTGTTTGAGACTTACAAGAACACTAATGTCTTCTCTTTATACCTTAAGTGGGCTTAGCCAGTGCTACATGGTTCTCAAAATAACACTCTGGATAAATACCTAAGTTCCCTAATTTGAATTTTAGAATTTTCCAAACCATTGTCACTGCCCTTTCCACAGCTTCCCTCAAAAGCCAACTGTGAACTAGTGGTAGATCTCTGCTCCCAAAATCAGAAGACATGGGTGCTCCAGTTCCTGCTGCTTAACTTGACAATGGACACGCAGCCAGTTGTCCTGATTTCCCAGCAGAAACAATGCTATCAATAGTGGCTAAATTCCAGGATGCTAATGCTAAGCTACATAAGAAGAAGGATTACAAAGGCTTCTTTGGGTTGGCATAAGCAAACTAAACATCACTTATCAGATTATATACTTAAGAAAAACAAACCCAGGTACCACAGAACCTTCACCACATTGGTGTTTTTTCCTCCTCTTCAAATAGTTATGCAATACCTTTCTGCTGAATATGGATTTCCTTCTGCCTGGAAATCGCTGCTCTTCTAAGTTCCCATTCTCCCTTTAATAATCAACCTGAAGGTTTCAATGAATGCTTTCTTGACCATTATCATGCCTCTAGTCAGGCCCCAAATACACATCAAAACTCTTGCCCCTCCTCGATGCCCTTAGATGTACAATTATTTCAATCCATCACGGCTGGAGGTTTTCTTTTTTGTTAGTGAAAAATGTCAAATATTTAGAGAACTTGAAAGAATATTTCACAAAACACCCACATGCCTGCCTAAACAACAGCCAATATTTTGTCAAATTGACTATTTATATATGTTCTACACACATATTTGCTGACCATTTGAAAGTTGTAGGCATCAACACATTTCATCTTGAACACTTCTCCAAAATAACTACCTCTTCCTACATAACAATACCATTTCCACCAAGAAAATTAGTCAAGGGTTCTTTTAACATTGTCTGTATGCAGATACAGATGGGAGCTTCTGCAGAATAAGGACCTCATCTGTGTATTCCCAGGACTTAACTGGGCTATCAATAAATGTTCTATCAATGGTTCAGTTTAATACCTTTACAACCATTGGCAAGTATGTGGTTTTAAAACTTAAATAACAAGGTTTGATTGTGTAACTGTGTTGTAGTAAGAATAGCATCTGGGGTTCTTAACTACTTAATTGTGCATCACAATACTGAAGCTCCGTGAAGACAGAGATCCTGCTGGTCACTTGTCAAAGTAGGGGCATACACAAAACAAAAACAAGACCAAATGCATGAGTGATGTAGCCACAGAAAACCGTAGGGAATTAATTGTAATCTTGGAAGAACACCAGCCACCAGAATATTAATTTTGTAGTGAAACCTGTCTGATTCGTTTACTGGTAGCCAAAATTTACTTGGGTGAGTTATCTGACCTCTCCAACCCTCAATTCTCATAACCTCTGTAAAGTGGGGATAATCTAAAGACCTCATAGAATTGTTCAGGAATGAGAATATACATGAACCACTTGGCATAGCTCATTACTCTCAGCTATCTTATTTCATCTGTCCGAAACAAAACTACTTCACTGAATTTATAACAACCCAATAAAACCCTGTACAGTGTAGGACTAGGGAGCTTGCTGGGTGCCAAAGTCAGCCATGCTTGCTACTTTTTCAACTAAGCCTTTCCAGCACGCAATGGAAAGACTATATTACCCACAGGACTCCAGGAGTAGTAAACTTCCAAGGAGTGGTCCAGAGCCTTGTGTAAGAGGTCCAAAGGTCATCAGCCGCACGCCTGGAGGAACTGGCTCCAGTCCCTCAGGTGCGGCAGTGACCTGCAGCCTCCGGCAGCGCACTACGCAAAGCTCCAACAATGCACAAGGCTTTTTGTTCTGTAGGTATGGAAGCGACGACAAGCACAGGGACAAAGACTAAGGAATGAAAAATTAAAGTAGCCCCTCTAGGAATAGCAGTACCCAAACTCAATGCTGCTCACTTTGATGGAGGGGAACGCAGCTAGGAGGAGCTCTGCGACTACCTTTTGACAGAACTACAACGTCTGGTGTTTTTAAAGAAAAAAAAAAAAAGGAAGCAGTAGCGGAGGAGGAAGAGAAATCAAGCCGCGAAAGGGCTCTCAAGGCGGTAGTGTCACTCCTCCGCGCCCGCGTTGTCACCTCTCCAGCACTTGCTCCTGGCAGGCACGTGCACTGCGCATCTAGGATCGGCAGGGCACTGACGGAAAGAAAGCAAAGGCCAAGCAGCCCTCTGGCGATCAGGTTCTGGGTCTCCACCGATCTCGGGGCCCTCACCTGGCACGGCTGGGGTTGTCACTCGAAGTGTAGGAAAGGGCCAAGCCCATCCAGGTCTTGGTTTCTCCCCTCTAATTCTCGGGGCAGGGGCGAGGTGCGGGAGAAAAGGCTTCAGGTGCAGGCGCAGATACGGGTCTTCCCCCGCCGGCAGCAGCTTAAGGGCCACAGCTGTGCACTACCTCAAGCACTCGCACACCTCATGTGCCTCGGACACGCCTCTTCCCAGTTTGCGAAGGGTCTTACAAGGAAACTCCCCCGGGCGGAACAACTTCCGGTAAGAGCCCAAAGGCCCGCCCTCTTCTTTGCTGCTCCGCTTCCGGCGGCGCAAAATAAATCGCGAGAAGAGCCTTAAGTCGTGTCGTTTGCGTTTAGGACCACTTCGGTGAGTGGTCGTTCTGCCGTGCTTTGTCATACGTACTTCTTTTTTTTTTTTAAGTGAGTCGTAACCTAACGTTGATTTGAAAGCCGTTCCCTTCTCACGGCGTGAGGGAGCCTGAGTCCGCGGGGAATTGGCGCCGGCGCCGTTGGGGCGTGGGGCCCGGGCGCTGCGAGTTCCCGCGGGCAGGGCTGGGGAGGGGTCCGTGCCGGAGGCGGCGCCGTGGCGAGTTCGGCTCGCTGGCCTCTTCCCGAGATGCTGAAAGCAGCTGGACCTCGCCTGAAACGAGCGACTACTTAACACGCCGGCAAAATGCTTAGGAGATGCCTCACCCCGGGCGAGGTAGTTTGTGACTCCCCGGCGTTGGAGTGAACTCAGAAGTGGAGTTGGAGAATTCGGGACCTTGACCTTAACATAGTTGTCATTTTAACTTGAGATTTTTACCCCAGGTTAAAGTCACCTGTGTGGCGGGGCGACCCTCGAGCTCAGGAGGAGAAGGTTGTCAGGAAGTTTTAAGGGGAAAAATACACATTTTATCTCAAAGGAAATCATAAGCATGTCTGAAGCCTAAGTAGAGAAATACTTTTTAAAAAGGAAACGACAGTTGTCTTACCTGTTTTCTTTTTTTAAATATTCTTTCACCCATTAGTCCTGTTTTCAATCTCTATACCTGATAATTTTATAATGTCTTATATATAACAGTCCGATGCTGGAAAAATAAAAAGGGGGTGAAAGAAGGAAGACAAAAGCATTAAAGTGTACCATGTACGTGTACCAATTCCCCACAGTGAACGCAGTCATGTACGACAAAGTACTAAATCGTGTACTAAAAAGTTTAAAAAAAGAGATAAACATCCCCCAAAATGAATTTATTCTGTTCGGCTTCATGTGTATTCATATAAAGTTAAAGGCGTTATTTTTTGTATGCATGTGGAGTTTAGGGCATTATATTTGTTAAATTTGTATGGAAGAATGAAGCAAATTACAAGTAGTACGTGGGGTATTGATTTCCCAGTCTTTAATGTTACAGAAAATGGTACTGGCCCGTGTTTCAGAGATTAAAAATAGCATAATTCAAAAGTCAGAATTTTACTCTCAAATTAATGTGTTTTTTGTTTTTGTTTTTGAAATATTACAGGTTTTATGTATTTGGACTGTACACAGACTGTAATCTGTCAGAGGCTTAAATTGGTAGCTCAGTAAGATGCTGTATGTGTGTGTGTGAATTGAATTGTATCCCTTACTGGTCTCAGGAACTTCATACTGCCCATTTAAATTTCTCTCTGTTTGCTGTAGTCTCTCTATAAGCTATTCCCTTGCACTTAAACTTTTTTGATTATTCACTTCTTGAAAGCAAAGCAATCTTTCTTTTCATTTTTTTCAAATTGTAGTAAAATGCACATAATATCAAGTTTATTATCTTAATCAGTATCAAAATTCATTTTTGTTCAAGAAAAATTAATTTACATGTAGTTGAGAAAAATATGAGCTCTGGTGGGTAGGGTTATTTGAACATTTACAAAATATAACACGATTGGAACAATATTTTACAGTTTACAATAAACATGAATATTTAGAAGTAACATAAAATTATATTTCCTGCTTAAATATCACATAACAGGTCCAGACTATGTAAGTAACATTTCCATTGATGGCAGTGAGAGACTTTAAGCAAACCTTTTGAAGTGTATTCATTTCTTTTTGTCCTAGTATATAGAAAATTTTCAATATCTCAAAAATAACATTTGACTCTTTTAGTTCAAATACATCGCTTTCATTTCTGTACCGCAGTTATCTCTCACAGATATTCTGGGAAGGCTCAGTTCGTACAGAAGCAGAAATGTGACTGAAACCTGAACTGAAATAGCAACTGATTTAACTTATCATTCAAGTAATATCTTTAAATATCCTTTGCCTAGGTTAACGATGGTCCGTAGTGGAAAAAATGGTGACCTTCATCTTAAACAGATTGCGTATTATAAAAGAACTGGTGAATATCATGCAACTACACTGCCAAGTGAGAGGAGTGGCATAAGAAGAGCGGCAAAAAAATTTGTCTTCAAAGGTGAAATTGATATCCAAATCTTGAGTATAATCTATAGCTTCTTTTCTACATGTGTTCTGCGTAGAATCTTAAAAATTTCTGTAGTAACTGATGTTAAATGATCATCAGTTAAACTGATGATGACACTCAAAAGCAAAGTAGAAATCACACTGAAGCTAACTGAAAGCTAATAGGCCTGAAAAAGGCCTATTGAATTATAGAAGTGCTGTGAAAAACAGTAAAGGTTGACCTAAATTAACTTCTGCTTTTGCCCTCTAATGGTTCCTGCTGTGGTATATACAATACTTTAAAGAGCTGATGCCACTGTCATTGAGGAACTTGTTAGATGCTACATATGAAAATGTTGACAGAGATCACAAATGGAAGCAATGGACTGTCTCCATTTCTGTGATCCCTTCTCCCACTGCCATTAAATGTTAATCCCAAATTCCCTGGAAAGAATAAATATTTGAAAGGCAGGGCAATGTTTATCTTAAAGTTCATGGTAGCTTTTCTCCTTCAAAGAGGAGAAGTTTGGATAAAATAAGCAACAAGGACAGTCACCAGATACCTGAGTGAATGTTAGTGCAACTGATAGTTTTCCCTATTAGCTTTTCCCCAAAGTGGGAAAAAAATGTAACATACTAAATGCCTATACATGTCTCCCTGGGTACCCCACTCCCAGTAACTCCTTATGCCTAAGAACTTTGTAAACCCTTAACCTCTGAGACTCAAGAGAGGTTTCTTTCATTCATTTATTTAATCATTTATGTGAAAAAGTGTTCACTGAGTTCCTCTTGTTTGCCATTCACATTTTAGGCATAGATAGGGTTCCTGTCTTCAAAGTGCTTACTTTCTAGTTTAAATAAGGAATGTTTGAGTTAGCATGGGCTTCACTATATTCCAGAGTTTGACTTGCTGCCTGATCCAGGCTAGTGAAATGATGTGTTGGTTTTATTTTTACTTCCGTTGGTTGCTTTCCAGCTCCAGCCTCTTCCTACGTAAAACAAAAGTTGTACCAGATGCAACTTACTAACTGAGACTGTCTCAAAATTTAAAAAAAAAGAAAAAGAAAGAAAAAGGCTGGAAATACAACTCATTGTGAAAATCCTGAATTCAACCCCCAATATGGCAAAACCAAAACAACCTTGAGGATACAGTTACTCCCACTGTTCCATATCTACTTTCTACTCATATCGAGAAAAAGCTAGAAGAGGTGTTTGCCTCTAAAATTATACTTATGATGAACTATTAATACTGCCATAGATAATCTCACACTCCCATAGTTACCACATATTCTGGTGAACAAGCTCGTTCTGTTTGTATTGATAGCTCCAAAATTATAACAGCTAGTGTACCTCCATACCTAGTGTAACAACTGAAAACCTTTCAGATGTACAGTAACATCCTTACAAGTACATGTTCTGTTTTAAATAGAAAAGGGTTGTAAAAAGAAAGACACTTAGAGTTTGAAGGTAAAACTATTATCTTAATACCATGTATGGATATATATAGATAGACATAAATTAAACTTCTTTTTTTGATATCACTTCTTCCAGAAAAAAAGCTGTTTTATGTTGGGAAAGACAGAAAACAAAATCGTTTGGTAATTGTTTCAGAAGAGGAGAAAAAAAAAGTCCTAAGAGAATGCCATGAAAATGACACTGGCGCTCATCACGGCATTTCGAGAACACTCACTCTAGTGGAATCTAACTACTATTGGACTTCTGTGACCAATGATGTCAAACAGTGGGTATGGCTTATGTATACAGAATATTTTGACTATGTCTTTTTAGTAAATGTACAAAATTCTTTATCACTCCAGATTTTACTCTTTTACCTCTCCTTATGTACTTTGTGTATAGTTTTTGTACAAAAGACACTTAAAAGGAGTTTTATTTCTTTCATAATTTTTTAAAAATCACTGAAGTATAATTTGAACTAGAAGTAAAGCAGCTTTTAGACATTTAAAAATACATTTTGATAATAATATAGAACTAGATTTTCATTAATGAACTCCTTTGTGTAGGTAGAATTGGATTGGTGCTGAAAATCCTTTAATCAAATCATTACCGCTTTAATGCCACGCAGGAGATTTTCTGTAGGAGGATGTGTATGTAATAACCAGGCCTGTGTGTACTCTTAGCTTTCGCACCTATACCAGCTTCAGGAAGAAACCATCAGACATGGCAGAAATACAAATACAGAATGTGAAAAAATCATGTTATGGACCTGCCATGTATTCTTTACAGACATTCAGTAAAATCGGTCTATTCTTGAGAATGGATATGATTTTTTAAATAATCAGAGGTTATTTGTGATTAAATCTAGTAAGTTTAAGTTGGAAAATGAGCATTTCGATCAAAAGTAACTGACAATAATATATTAATATGGTTTTAAATTTTTTTTTCAGAAGTTAGCTTTCTGTACATCTTTTTTAAGGACAAAAATTTTTGGTATCTATAAATATTAACTACTTTATATTTCAATAAATACTGGTATAGGTGAATGAATGAATTTCTTTATAGTGATAATTTGAGAAAAATATTTTCTACATATAAAAATCATTGCATATTCACATATTTTACATGGTACAATTTTTATTTGTCAATAAAAAAATAAAATTTCATGTGACTCATGAATTATGTTCCATTTGAAGAAGCTTTCAAAAGCTGGTCATGTAATAGAAAGAGCAACTAATATTTGCATGTTAATTTAAGATTTAATTCAGTAGTCTGTTTTTAGTCCAAAAATTTCTCCTTTAAAACACAAACTACCTATTAACCATTTAAAAACTCTGATTTATGTTGAATATATTAACTTTTATATATATTTTGTTTATTGTGTGCCTCTTTATAGGTATATTCTTGTCAGCATTGCCAAGTGGCAAAAAATACAGTTATTCTAGCACCTAAACAGCACCTTCTCAAGGTAGAAAATTCATGGAGTATAGTTACTGTGGATCTGATGGGACCTTTTCATACAAGCATCAGAAGACATGTTTATGCTATAATTTTGACAGATTTATTCACAAAATGGGTTATGATTTTGCCTCTATGTGATGTTTCAGCATCAGAAATTTCTAAAGCTATTGCCAATGTATTTTTCTTATATGGACCTCCTCAAAAACTAATAATGGACCACAGAGATGAATTCATTCAACAGGTAAGGGAACTTGCTTATGTCTCGAGTGTATGTTACTCTTTCAGTGTCCATTACACAGTGCTGTGTGTGTTGTAGGGTGCTTAATGTATTCAGATAAATTGCTATGACACAGAGGTATGTATGTCATACACTGCAAAAGTAGTTAGACTAGAAGTTAAGAGATCAGGATTTTAGTATTTATTGTGCCACTAAAGTAATTGTAAACCTGTGTTGTGGTCTCCTCAAACTCAAATAAGAAGCTGGACCACAGTCTTTGCTTATTTCTAACTTAAAAAATTTTATAGTAAGCAGATAAAGGAGAAATTTGAGTAAATGTAAAGATCATGTTCATGAATGAGAAGGCTCAGTATTGATTGAAAGGTGTTTTTTTTCCCCCTTTCCTTGGTCTTTTTCCAAATTAATCTTAAAAACAGCCAAGAATATAATGAAAAGTCTAGAAAAGACATATAACTATTAGACTTATGACCTGTTTTTAAATTTTGTAATTAAGCTAGTTGTGGTGGTACATGCCTGTGGTCCTAGTTGTTCAGGAGGCTGAGGTTAGAGGATCAGTGCCCATAAATTCAAGACCAGCGTGGATAGCACATCAAAACCTATTTCACACACACACACACACACACACAGATGTGGAATATTATAAGTACCAAATAATCATTATCATAGCTAAGACAGACTTTCCTGATTTACACTACCTTTGATGTCTCAATCCAGAAGAAATATTTAGTTTTATTTATTAAGTACATAAGACTACATAAGATGTAAAACTATCCCTAGAGTCTGTGACTTACGAGGAATGCGCAGCATGTAGTGAAATCTATGGCTGAAATTTATTCAGTGAAAGAACGCAAACGAAAGTCATAGCCTCAGCAACTTAGCAAAACCCAGTCTCAAAATTAAAATAAATAAAAAGAGCCAAGGATGTAGCTCTGTGAAAACCCACGTCCAACCACCAGTGCCCCCCACACAGACACTTCGAAAAGGAATAGTATATGGGAAGAAGTCTAGGAGAAATCAGGCACAAATAATTCTATCCTAGGCCTTTTGTAAAAAAAGGTTAACCTTGAAACACAATCTTACCAAGTTGCCCAGGCTAGCTTTCAACTTGCAGTCCTCCTGCCTCAGCCTCCTAGAAAGCTGGGATCACAGGCATGCACCACCACCACACTAGGCTAGGATTTCTACTGAGGCTGGTTCACATATGTATTCACATATGTCTAGACCCTCAGACTAAAAATTATTTAGCATAGACCACACTACTTATATAAACTTTGAGGCCTAATGAGCTACCTTCATCAGTCAGAAAATGTTTTAAACCGTCAGTGGGAGCCAGAGTCCAGGGAGCCGTGAAACCTTGTGATCAGGTTTTCAGAGGCTATCAATCTCAGATCTCTGTGCAGTTTTCTGCACACATACATCCAAACAACTTAATGAACATTTATATTCTAGCCAAGTTATAGCCATTTAAAAGTCCGTTTCTTGGGACGGGGATGTAGCTCTAGGTTCACTCTTCAGTGGCTCCCCTCTCCACATTATATAGAAGTTATAAGTTTAAGGAAAACTGTTTTTATTTAGTTCTAGAATAACTGGTTTCTTGCTCACAGGTTATGTGTCCTTGTGGACCACTACTTCTTAGACCTTGGGGGTGTGTTAGAAATTGCTAGTCAGTCTTACTTCTTCTTGCAGTGCTTTTTTTAAATGTAGCAATTGCTTTTTGTTATTATAGCACTTACTGGGGAAAATCAAAACAGTTCTGTAAAGATATAGTATCAGACTTGATCTGCTGATACCATGAACTACATCAAGCTAGTGTGTTTCATGGTGTATAACTGATGTTAACTGGGAATATTGGCAGAGCTTTTTAACTGGTTAAAATGACAAAAGTGACATCACCAATGAGTGAAGTAGGGAAAGGTTATATAATAGATCAACAAGTGACATTTGTAATTATTTTCTGTAGTACAATTTTAGAATGAAATGTATATCAAAACGTTTCAAGTAGATTAAAGAATGTCTGTGCTTTTAATTGAAACAAAATGTATATGAGTAATTTTTTGTTTTAATTTCTAGAAATAGAGAACACATTCTGAGTTTAGAAATAGTAGTGTACATTTCAATGGAAAAATGTCAAACTTGGCTTGGTAAAAGTTAGGAACTTGTATTTGGTAAAATAACCAAAATATACAGGACAACAAATACACAAAGAAACATAAAGGTAAACCTCCTTGGGAAAGGGCTGATGTCTTTATTAAAAATTCAAAGAAATTAATAAAAATAATCAAAAGCAAAATCAGGCAATTTTTAAAATTTTATTTAAAGAAAGACTAAAAAGAAAATGGGTAGAAATGATACATACTTTCAAAGAAAAAATAAACAGTAAGAAATCACTGGTTGATATTTACATATTGTTCTCTTACCAATAGTTGTTCAAGATACAAAAGTGGAACATATAAAGTGGGCATTCAAACAGCGAGACTGCAAACAGTTCTTTTCAACTATGCAACAAAAACGTAGTAATATGGTTATCAATCCTATACACTTAAACATACATGCAGTTATCTGTATCTTCATTTATGTTGAGATTAAACAAACCAAACAGGCTAAAATCACTCTGAACAAAGAATAATAGTATTGCTGGATTTCACATCGTGACACTCCGGGATCAGCACTGGGTACTGTAGTATGCCTTTTTATTCAGAGCATTTGTTCATTTCATCATGTGTCATAAGATCAGTTCTCATAAACTGTTTATAGGTTCTATGCATGCATGAGTCTTAACATGTATTTCTATAAATCAGGCAATTTTCAAAAGGAAGAAAAATTCTAAACAGATAAAATGTTCAAACTTAGTAGTAATAAAAGTATTGCAGGTTAACATTAGTTTTTGTTTCTATAATAAAAAATGAGAATATCCAATACTCTGCAAGTACATAATCATGTGATACTTGTAGCACTGCAGATTGAAACTTAACCTTTTGTAAAGTAAGTTGTAAAAGTTACAGTAGTAACTAGTTTTAAACTAAATGTGTACATTTGTATTTAAAATGGCTAAGATCAGTGAAGAGGGCAAACCTCAGATTCTTTTGAAGACACTTTTTAAATCAGGAGAAAAATACAAACTTTAAAAAGTCCTTTGGAGCCAAGTTTGTTGGTGTATACCTGTAATCCCAACACTTGAGTGGCTGAGACAGAAAGCTTTTGAAATCAAGGCCACATCTGAATAACATAATAAAAGCCTGTTTCAAAACAAAAAAAAAAAAAAAAGAGTTTGTTTTGTCTCTTTTTCAGATCAATGTTGATCTGTTTGGATTGTTTGGTACAAAAGAGATTGTAATTTCTCACGCTTCTGGAACTGTTAATCCAACGGAGAGTACACCTAGAACCATCAAAGCGTTTCTCTCCAAGCATTGTGCTGACCACCCCGACAACTGGGATGAGCACTTACCCGCTGTGTCCTTTGCGTTCAACGCCACTCACTCGGTATGCGCTTTTCTACGAACTTTGTACTGCTAGGTTATGACTATTTCTTCTCTAAAAAAATACTTTATTACAGATTTGATGTTTATTTTTCTTAAAATAGGAGCCTGCTAAAAATACACCATATTTTCAGATGTTTAATCGAAATCCTTATATACCAAAGACTTCAGATACTCTCCATGAAGTGGATGCTGACAACACAAGCGTGCTTGCCAGGATTCTAGATGCAATTAAAGAAGCTGATAAAATAGTGGAGACAAAGACAACTTCAGTGGGCCAGGTGATGCTGTGTAATAGAAAAACTATAAAATTCTATGCAGTAATATTTATTTTGATATACCCTTAAACCAAAATGTTTTGTCTGTCAAGTTTTGCTTGTCTTTGCTCACTAGCTATGAGAGACAGTAATGAAAAAGCATGAATTTTAGAAACAAGAAAGCTGAGTTCTGGTCTTGCCATTTCCAGGATTTTCACTTTGGGAAATTACTAAACCTTTGGTAGTTTCCCATCTATGTAAAGTAGGGGTAGTGTTACTGACTTTGAAATGTTACTTTAAGAATTAAGGGATCGCCAGGGATACAGCTCAATGGCAGAGCACCTGCTGGCAGGACAAGGTCATGAGTCCAGTCGCTGGCACCACAAAAGAAAAAACAAGCAAACAAAACAAAGCAAAAAATACAGAGTCCTGGCTACCTTTTTATAGCAGCTCAGGAAATAACCATTTTGTCACTTTCAGAAGTAAATGTTCATCTTTTTACTTTTTTTATGCTCGCAGATAGAGAACAATTTGAATGGACTACATAAAAGCAAGATCATTGTTAAGAAGAAATCAAAGCAATCAAATCCATTTCATTTAAAAGTGGGTCATGAAGTTTTAAGACAGAGGAAGAATCGGTGGAAAGATGGTCGGTTCCAGTCAGAATGGATTGGTCCTTGTGTCATTGACTACATTACGGAAAGTGGGTGTGCTGTCCTGAGAGACAATACGGGGACTAGGCTTAAGAGACCTATCAAGATGTCCCACCTGAAACCCTACGTCAGGGAATCCAGTGAGCAGGGTAAGTGTGTGGCACTTCTTTATGCTTTATTTTAGGAGAGAAATTGAAAATAATAAAGTCTTCCTTCTTTTTATAGGTCCTAGGTCTTCTTTCCCCTTACCATTTTTATAAAATTTGATATAATTTTAAATCTATGTTTTATTAGAATATGTCTTCTGGAGTGGGGAGATTTTATTTTGATTTCTAATGTGCTTTTCATTATTGACAGGAACAACACCGAACTTGTATCACAGAAAGAAACATTACATTATTTCTAGTTTTGCTTTCACAACATCCTGTGAGTCACACTGTTCCTCATTTTAGGGTGGAAACACAGCAACTGTGATGTCAGATACCAACATTAGTATCAGAAACATTGTCAGAAATTTACTTACAAAATAAACAAGGGAGCTCAAACATGTCATGAGTGGTTAATGCTGCTTCGTAGTTCTGTCGCAGATGGGGGTAGTTGAGTGTGCAGAGAGTGGTGTCTTCAGAATCCTGTAAGTACTGTAAGACATGACAGCATTCTAGATGAGGTTACATGTGTCCAAAATACTACTAGTTCTTAACGGTGAAGATATCCTGATCTCTCTAGTCTTGTCTTTCATAGTCTGATTACATGTCATTTTTGCCACAACTTGCAGATTAAGTCCCATTATCAAAATTGTTTTACTTTGTCCTCATACATCTGCCCTTACACCTTCTCTGAGGTAGGTTAACTAAGAGACTATTAATTGGTACTTTCTATGCAAGGTAAAATATTGATAGTTTTGGACTGTAAGTAACATCTGATGTGTGACACAATAACATTTTAAACAGCAAACAAGTTATTTAACATGCTTCAGTGAATAACAACAGCAAATAACCTATACTTACACCGTTTTGAGATATGAAGCCCTTAGCATAGCCCAGTAATAACACTACTCTGTTTTTGATCTGAGCCACAGCTCCAGTGTTAAAAGCTCTTAGTGCCTTTTTTTCTAGTGACAGAGCCAACTGCGCAAGTCAGTAATCTAATCTTTGTGTTCTAATTCTGAAACTCACAAGTACCTTCATTCCCTTTTTTAGAAGATCAGTGCTTTCATTCTTTGTGCCTCTTCTCAGTTCTGAGCTACCTTGATAAATCTCTCCCCTCTGCCAGCTAAGTAGCAAATAATAAAAATTATTTTTATACAGGTACACATTATTCTTTCTTTTGAAAGCTTTTCTCCTTAATCTTTGTCATTTGGGGCTTGGTTCCTTTTAAAATTTTGACATCCCTTCCTTAATACAAAGTTTACATTTAAAATGTAGTTTGCTCTTCAAAGACTTTCTTGAAAAGAGATCAAATATTTTGCTGCTTCTGAACATTTCAGAACCAAATTGAGAACAAAAGTTTCTAAACAGACACAGTATAATTTTTGCTTGATGCTTGATTTTCTGCAGATGTTTCCTCCAAAAATGTAAGAAAATTGCAGTGTTACTACTGGTGTACACATAAGGAATCTGAAATTGATGGGTGAATTTTTCTTGTTAGTTAAAGGAAGTGATGATCTAGCCATCCTAGGAAGTGATTCTTGATTACTGTCTGATGTGTGTGTGGGGGGGGATTATAGTTCTCCCATTTGCAGAAATTCATAATATAGGTAATTTCCACTATCATCTTCCTCAGAATCATGTATTTTCCTGAAAATATTAACCTGACAAACTGATTTTAAAGAGTCCTTTAGCTGAGTTTGTACAAATAGTATCTTTGAAAAATTGTACAACTTTAATTGACCTAATGTAGAGAGAACATGTTTAATAAATACTAGGCCTACAATATTTGTCATTGCTACTTTAAGCAGGCCTATTTATTATCTGTTCTAGTTCAGTGCCAAGTACTTTTTCAGGCTAATTATTTTAACCAAAATCTAAACATACTATTGTATCTCTATAGTCATAATGTTCTCTTTTGAAGGAAAAATTATGTTATTGACCCAGTATTCTATAAACATATATTTTGAGTAGTTTTATATTCCTGAGTTTGTTACAGATTTGGATCTGCCTCACACAGAAGTTATAGTCTCTTCTTCCCTTGTTGAAAGCCATTTATGAAATAATTTTCATTACTGTAGATATTTACTGTTGTTGCCATAATGAGTGTAGTAGCTTGAAACAACACAGATGTATTATAGGTGTCACTGGAGTATGACTGAGCCATCGATAGATTTGTGTTCCTTTCTCTAGACTCTGTGAGAGAATTCATTTTTCTAACTTCTGGAGGCTGCCTCCATTTCTTGGTTTGTGACCCTTTCCTCCATCTTCAAAGCCAACAAAGGCTCCACCTCCTCTTCTGCCTCCTTCTTCTACATTTGATGACCCTTATCCTTAGAACTGCTCAGATATCCTATGATAATCCCTCTTTTAAGATCAGCTTACTATCAACCTTAATGCTATCATTAATTTTATTGTTTTGTTGTGTACCGCTGTTTATTAGCAGGTTAGAGAGATACAAGAGATTCATATGTGGACATACTTGAAAGCCCATTATTCAACTACATTTATGATCTATGTTCATGAAACAAAGCAAAGCTTAATCTCTATGACATTAAGCCTTTGATCTCCACATTATTATTAACATAGTTCACTCAGAGAATGGTGTCCTTTGACATTTTAGTGACAGTCTCCAGGAGTCAATCAAGTTCTCTCTTGATAATATTAGTGATTATAAGGACAATGAAACTGTAGTTATTTTATCATAAGAAAAGATGTATTATAATGACAACATACTTGAAAATCTGAAGATTATCAGACCATGTGTAGGGTTAATTTAATCACTTCAGGATAAGAAAATTAAGTAGTATGAAACCTTGTGTCTTTCTATTTGAAGAGATAAATCATTCAGATTTTTGTGAGACTTTTAATGTGCTTTTCTCTGTAGGGAAATTCAAAAACTGGATTTTTTTTTTTTTTTATTCCTTAAAACTACCCAAGAAAAAAAATCTGTCAAAATTACTGGTAACATCTCTTTGAAACAACTTGAAAATGCCTCAAACACAGTGAAAATTTAATTATTCAATCTATCCAAAATTGAAATAATATTTTTATTAGATAGCATAACCATAGTTTAATTGAATAAGAAAAGAAAAATACTTAGGTCTGTTGTGTTATGTAACTTAGTAGAAAAGTTTTCTAATATGGTTGTTTATCTCTTTGTTTTGGGAGTAAAAACTTCATGTTCTTTGATATATACTTAACTAAGGATTGTTCTACAGCAGTGTTATCCAATAAATAGCTAAGGCAAAAACTATTTAACACACCATTTAAAACTTTGTATTAGTATATTTTAAAAAAGAATTGGGTAAAAATAATTTTCATATTATATTTTATATAATTCATTATATTCAAAACATTATTTCATCTATATATAGTACAATAGTTCCTTTTTCTTTTGATAATCTTTATCAAAGTCAAAAGCATTTATGTTGATTCCGGTGGATTTAGACCACAGCAGTTGAACTGTATTTGACCAATGTGAATAAATGAAAAAATATTTTCGTCTATAAACAGGCTTTTGACTTCTTCAGAGTAGTTTTCCATTGTGTATAAAGTGATTTGTGTAGAACTTACTGAGTATAATCTTTGTTTTCTACAGTTTTATTATAAATACCGTCTGTAAGTTAGAATTTTAACACTTAAATGTTATCACTTAGAAGAAAAAAATATGTATAATACTTATACTGTATAAGTATAGAAACTTTCCACTTACTAATAGTGATACTGGTAAAAACTCCAGTTTTTTTCTTAAATCCAGCATAAGATGTACACTTCAGCTCAGAGTCTCTGAATGCATTTCTAAGAATCAGGTAACTCCTAAGAGCTTATCATTTACACATACCTTTTCTGAACTGATAAATATTTAGTAGACATATTTTTTCTAAAACAGACCAATTCTGTTCCTCTATATAAAAAAAAATTGAGGGAGCAGGAAACCTCCTCCATCAGAGCTCTCTGAAGGTGTTTTTGGAAATTTCTTAAATCAGTATATCTTCTATAGCGGTAACTTTGTAGCAGTGTACAGGCTTTGACTTATGCATTTCCCCATGGCTGTTGGAAAGTTTATCAGTAGCACTTTTATCATACTTTGCTTTTTTAAATTTTCTCATCTGGCTTTCTCCAATTTTAACAGTAAATTAAAACAGATTTTGACGGTGAACCCCTAGTAATGCACTCTGAGTGTTCTGATTTCATTGATCATTTTTCTTCCTTTTCCCTGTTGTGGATCATACTTTTTATGGTTTGTATGATTTGTATTTTATTTGTCAAGTTTCCCTTTTCCAGCATTTCACCCCACAGAGACATTCAGAAATCATTTTTTACCTCCTTAAACTATCTATGCTTTTATTCCACTTTGGTTTTTTTTGCTTTTATAGCTTAGTTTTATTATAAATGATATATCTTTTTAATGTCATTTTTCACTCTAATCTCTGCATTTACACTCATAATAGTTGAAGAGGTTCAATGTGGAAAACCTTTTAAAATAAAATACAGGCCACATTTTGCCTAGTGGAGAACTAAATAGACAAACTAAGTGGCCCAGGCCCACTAAAGACACCTGTTAATAGAAAGCATAGATTTTTATGATATATTGAAGTTTGTAAATTGAAAGTTCTTAACGTCATGAACTTCTGAGGTGGAAACAGGCTCACGTCAAAGGATGAGTAGGGATCAGTTGAGTGGGATCATTTCCTGGGTACAGTAGCAAATTTATCTGCTCTGAGAAACTTTCATCAGTCCCTGATCTAAATGACCATTTCATCTTCTGTTTGCTGTTTCTTGTACTTGAAAGTTTGAGAACGCTTAAAGCTATTAAAATATTCAAGAGTGTCTAGTAATGTTGTATGAGAAAGTCTGGAAAGAAAAGGCAATGGTTAGAAAGTTAATAAACGGTGGTAGAAGAGTTCCTTTTGGCAGTGAATTAAATTATCATCTAAGGAAAAATCCTTTTCTGTATATTGTTCTTTATATTAGAATATACTGCTGCCTTTACTATTCATTTGACTATCATTTTAAACACTCTTTCTTCTGCTAGAAGAAAGGCAAGGGTTCCCAGTCAGTGTTTTAGGGTAAATCAGGTAGCCCTTAGAAGTTCCTAAGAATTTTGGTATCAAATTAGACTTAAATAATCTAAGCCTTTTAAGCTGCTTCATTGAAGCTTACCTCCGTACATATCCCTATCACATGAACCTGATCCTAGAAACTCCTCATCTAGTTTATGAGTTTGTATTGTAAGTTTCATATTACCTTCCTACTGTGGATTCAATAAAGATTAGAGAAATATCCAAAGTTGTAAACTTAAGAAAGTAACAATTCTATTAAAGTATCTTTGCTGAATTTAATTCACCAAGAAATATTTTATAGAAGCATATTAGGGACATATCATCAAAAATATAATTTTATAGTTTTCTTTTTAATCTATACCAGTGGTGGTAAACTCTGTTGTGTTTTTCTTTTAAAACAAAAGATGTTAATGTGTGAGTTGTTGTTTTCTAATCTAAAACCTCAGTATTCAGGTTTGATTCCAGGGTTGGCACTTTGAAGTAATAAAGTGGGTTTTGGGTTGCAGTTTGCCACTCAGTCTCTAAAAGGATCACCGTCACTGATCTGTAGCATTCCTGATATCCACACATAAATATCTAGCAGACAGTTCAAGGAGATAGGAAAATTTGAATGTTAAGATTCTTCATCCTTCTGTATCCTTTATATATGAACTGTCAAATATACACATATATCATTTTGTTCATTCTTTGATATGTATATTTAATTTTGTTCCTCACTGTGTGGTAACATTAATTTTAAAATGATGTTTATAATTCTGAAAAACAAATTTATCATATTTCTTTTTTCAGATAGTCTTTATCTCTTGCAAGGTTCTATAGTGGCGGATCATGACTACATTGGATTGCCCGAAATTCCAGTTGGAACACACCAAGCAAATATCTTGATAGAGGATGCAGCTATTGGTGTAGTCGATAATGAGCTGCTGACATCAAGCAAGGAACATGAACTGTTAGAATTCAGAAATGCCAAAGCATCTTCACTGATAGAAGATCATGGTACTCTTGAAAAGCAGACTTTCAGTCTTTTGGACTCTTCAAACCAAGTCCTTGAATACTTAAGTTAGTAAATACTAAAATTGATGTAAAGTTTTTGTTTAGGATGTTGATATTGTATCCATTAAAGTAGGTTGTATAGAACAAGTGTCTTAAAATAGTCTTAATGACTAAATCCCAAAATTTTATAGGTGTTTATTTAAAGTTATGTCACATTTGAGTATCAGATAGATATATAGAGCAAAAAGCATATACATTATATGCTTTTATATGTGTATTGTATCATATACTTCTATCAACATATATATATGTATATGTGTATATATATAAAAAGAAGCATATAATGTATATGATTCAGTTCTTTTAAATAGAAAGTAGGGAAAGCATCTTTGCTTCTAAGGAAATAAATTCCAGCTTAAAACTCTTAGTGTGTTGTCTGTTTTTTTCAGAGATGGTCTTGCTCATTTGCTGAGCTGGGATTGAACATGCAGTCCTCTTGCCTTATACTCCCAGCCTTTGTTTGACACTTGTATTGCATTTTCAGTTTTTGTTTTTCTAGAATATATGCTCCTTTTTAAAAAAAAAAATCTATTTAAGTTACCTAGAATGGGACTAATAAATATTGATTGAACTATAACATGAATGAAATGAAACTTCTTTCAGTGTCATTAAAATTTCTAAATACAATATTGTAGAAAAAAAATCTTAGGGTTGTCCAATAGATTCTTTATATGATATTGATAATTTCAAATTACCTAATTTGTTCTATAGATTTAGGATTAGGAAAAATAGGAAAATACATGTTATTTTGAAAACATTTTTTTCATTTCTGTGTAACATATTAAAGCCAAAAGCATCCATTAATAGGATTTTTTTCTGCCATCTCAAAAAAAGTAAATGATAAAACAACATCAAAGATTGTAAACATAATTTCTGTGATTGTTTGTGTTCAACAAATGTTATAGAGAACTATGAAAATCACTGTGGGAATATTAAATGATAGATGCATACTTTCTGTAAGGAGGGAGGATTGTAGACCATACAAGCAGGAAAATGCAAATTACAAATTACAAACTAGGACATGCCAAATCCCAAGAGCCCAGCATAGATAAAGACTATGTAGGAGCCTTGGGTTTAGCTTTATGGGAAATGGATCACATAAGTTTCAACTTGAAAAATACATAGAATTTTCTGAATGAGTCAAAAAAAAAAATAAGGAATGCTTAGACCAAAAATGCTGTTATGATTTACAGAAGGACAGGACTTTTGTTGTCTTTACTACTTTGAATATAAAGTAGCAAGATAAGAAGGTAAAAAAGTCCAAAATTTTGTGGAGAAACTTGATTGTTGTTAAAGGATGATAATGTTTCCCACACAAAACATGTGTTGAAATCCTTAATACCCACAGCTCAGCCTGTGACCATATTTGGAAATAAGGGTGTTTTGACATAGAGAAGATGATATATATTAGAATAGAAGAGGCCCTAATCCTAGATAACGGGTGTCCTCAGAGAAAGAGAATATTTGGACACAGACTTGGAGAGAATATCATATGAAGCTGAAGATGATACTTGTACAAGCCAAGAAATAACAAACATTGCCAGAAAGCTGCCAGGTACTCGGATTGAAGAGTACTGTAGATTCTCCTCCAGGGCCGTCAGAGAGATCAGCACTTCATCTCAGACTTCTGTCTTCAGGACTAGAAGACAATACAGTTTTGTTGTTTAAATCACACAGTTTGTGGTACTTTATTATGATCACCGTAAAAAACTAATATAAATGACTAAATTATTTTCTGAGACCAAAATCTACAAAAGTTTTTAATATAAGAATGTGGCACAATCAGAACTATTTTATCATGTCTGGAAGTTTGCAAAGAACTGATTAGAAGAAAGGAGGGGAAAAGGCATGGAAATTGTTTGATAGGATTTTGCTGTGAGTAATAAAAATTTAAGCTTCTAGCATTGATAATAAATGGAATTTATCTTACAGTCATAATACAGTATCTTACATATTTTTACCATACTTAAGGGTGATACCAGAAATACAGACCAGAAAGATTATGATGACTAAGAAGAAAGATTAAATTATGTTTCATATGAGCTGAAGGATAAATGACTGGGGGCAGGAGTAAATCAATGTAGGATTCATCATATCACAGACCAAATAAATCTGAAGTAGAATTCCAGAGAGAAACCTTCAGGAAGCAGAGTTTAGCAGTAGTTCCTGTCCCATCCCACAGCAGAACAAAGTTTATGATGGAATTCCCTCGGCCTCTCTGCTTGGTTAATGTGAGTGGTTATGCCTTTTCTCAGCTCAGATAGAGTCATTTTCCTTTAATGGTCACCCTCCAGTTTTGGTTATCAAATTCACAACTTCATGCATATTAGGCAAGGACTTTTTTACCCCTGAACTATGTCCCAACTAACCCTGCTCTCATTTTTTTCATTTGAGAAGACCAATTAGTATTCAGAGTCATATTAGAATTATAAAACTAAACAGTTAAAAGTTTGCCTCCCATAAATAATTTCTCATTAAACAGACTTTAATCCTGTGGTTCTGAGTTACATTATGCTAACTTACTTTGTGTCTGCAAACCACTCCCAAATCTTAGAAAAAAACTTTATTTCTTGGCCACCCTACATATTTCTCTTGACTTATGGAAGACTTGGTTCTATCTTCATCCTCCCTCCAAAATGTAGGGTGATGGTGCCCACTTCTTGAATGGCACCGTTCACTGTGTATTATGGTTTAGATATAAAAGGTCCCTCAAATTTTCACATGTGTGGAAGGTGATTACATCATAGGGTACTATATTCACTAATAGATTTATCTATTGGTGAGTTTAGTAGTTCATGTGCTGTTAGGAATAAGGGCCCAGTGAGAGGAACAGCTCACTGGAGGCGTGACCTGGAAAAGTGTGTTCTTTTCTCTGGCTCTTCCTCTACTTCCTTGCTGACGTGGGCTAAACAGCTTTTCTCTGCCCTGCTTTTGCATCACGTTATTTCTGGCATGGAGCCAGCCTGCCAAGGAATGAACCCACAGGAACCATGAGCCAAATAAACCACTCTCACTTTAAGTCAAAGGTAACAAATGTCTTGTCAATGGCAGGAAAATAAGCTAATATCCCATAACATAGACCTGTTTAACTGAACACTAGATTTAAAAAGTTACTATGAGGTTATATACTTCCTTCTTGCTCATCTTACAATGATCAAACCTAGTCACATAGTGCTAATGGGTCAGAACACTTTTTGTGTGGTAACCACAGTGTTCTAAAATTAGTGTTGAAGGTTTTGTTTCTGTACGAGTATACTAAAATCCATCTAATTGTACAGTTTACAAGAGTGCTCCTAACTGGTCCCTGGAACCCATGTGAATGTGAGTGCCAGCTCAGCCTGTTTGAGGATCCTACCACATGCTTCATCCAAAACGTGTGGACAGTCAGATTACTGAAAGGCTTTCCCTGCCTATGTAGTCTCTAAAGAGTGGAAGAAGTTCCTGTTTCTTTAAATGTGTGACACCAACACAAGACTTCGAGGATCATGAACAATCAGGTTAACAGGATACCAGCAAAGAAACAAAAAAAGTGTCAGTAACTGACCCTAAAAAATGGGGATTTAGCTCAGCGGCATAAGCACCTGCCTTGCAAGCAGGCAGTCGTGAGTTCGGTCCCCGGTACCGATAAAAACGAAAAAGACAAAAAAAAAACAAAACAAAAAATGAATATATACAAGCTGCATGGACAAAGGTTAAAGTGATTGTCTAAGGAAGCTCTGTAATAACACAAAGACTAATAACAAAGTAAATCAATACATGAAAAAAATAATGAGTAGTTTAACAAGAAACCATCAAAAGAACATTCTAAACCTGAAAAATGATGGACTGAAAAGATTCAGTGGAAAACTTCAACAATGAATGAATGAAGAAGGCATTGGTGATTTTAATACAGGGCATCTAACATTACACTGGTGGAGGAACAAACAGACAAAAACACAACATCTACAGCAAGTGAACCAAAATATGCATCATATAAGAATCATGGAAAAAGGGAAAGGAAAAGGAAGTTGCCCATATGTAGAAAGGGAAATGAATGTCAACATCCATGAATCCCAAAGAACCCTAAATATAAAGATATCTTTACCATGAAATAATCAGTTTTTTAACTATCAAGCAATTTTGAAAGCAAGAGAAAAGCCAACTGTTAAACTATACTACAAAGCTATGGTTATTCTACATAACACTGACACAAAAATAGGTGCATAGACCAATGGAATACAGAGCCCAGAAATATTGTTATGGTTGATTGATTGTGTCAATTTGAGGAAATAACACCAACTAAATTGGCTCAGCAGCATTCTGGGTGTGAAAGACCCGCCATAGGGGGATTATCTCCAGATTGCTGTAAAAGGGAACAAAGCAGGAAGGGTTGCTTCTCTTTCGTTCCAAGGAGCTTTCACCAGGAGCATCATCTCCTGGCTTCCAGCACAGACCACTCAGCTTCTTGACCCATACTTGCGTGAGACACTCCATGGAGCTCCAGGTTTTTGACTGGATCCTTCAGGTCTCCAGTTCACAGGCTGACTTTTTGCACTCTTCTGTATTCAGGCAGCCATCATAAGCCAATCTGTAAATTCTGGTGTATTTTTTTTTACCTTGTGTTATGTTTCTTTGGTGAACACTGACTGATGCATTTACCCATGCATGTATGGTGTAGTCCATCTTTGATAAAATTTCCAACCCCATACAATGTATAAATACAGTCTTTTTGATAAATGATGTAAGACAGACTATTTACATAAAGGAATAAAATTAAATTCTTATACAAACTTTTTAAAAAGTAAATAGAATAAAGTCTTAGGTATAACACCTAAAATTGAAACTACTAAAAGAAAATGAAAAAAAAAAGGAAAATAAAGAAAGCTTTTGTGTTTTTTTGTTTTTGTTTTTGTTTTTTTTTTTTTTTTTTGGTATGCAGAGGATTGAACCAACAACCTTGCACTTTGCAAGCAAGCACTTGTGCTGCTGAGCTATATCCGAGACCTGAAAAAGCTTTTTAATATTGGTCTGAGAAGGTTTTTGTTATTTGGCCTTAAAAGCCCAAGGCACCAAAGAAAAATCTGGCAAGTGAGATTGCATTTAAATAAAAAGTTTACACAAAACAAAAACAAAACAACACAGTGAAGAGATAACCTATGGATGGGAGAGAAAGGTTATGCAAGCTATCCATCTCCTAAGGGCTTAATATACAAAACATATAAGCAATTCAATTGCAACAAAACAACTCAATTTTTAAAACTGGCCACAGGTCCCAAACAGACTTCTCTCCAAGGAAGATAAATGGATAACAGGAATATGAAAAATGTGTAACATTATTAGTCATCAGAGAACCAACATCAGAGAATCAATAGCTCATCGAGAGGTCTC